CCAGTTCATTCATTCATGCAAATATATATTGATACTTGCTGGGTACCAGTCTCTGCTCTAATACAGGGAATATGATCATGATCAAGAACCCGGCCCTCAGGGACTTTGCACTCTAGTTGGGATGAGACAGTTTATAAACATGCAAAATGAATAAATAAGATGGTGAATTTAAGTTCTACAGAGAACGTAGGCCACACAGAGTGTGAGTGGTCAGAGTGAAATTTAGGGAGTTCTCTTTTCCTTCAAGGATGCCTTTGGAATGCACTGGCCCAGGGTTTCACCCAGACACCACTCTCAGATGGCCCAGGGCTGGCCCTGCCTGTGAGGCAGAGGAAGTGTACAGGGACTGTATCGTTGAGCACCTGTTTTCTAACAGCTGATCCTTATCCTGCCCCAGCGTGTCCGTTTATTGATGCTGTCAACTTCCAGATTTCCTTTGCCTTCTTTTGCATTTATATGAGAGTCTGAAGGGCTGTGCAGATAATACTTTCCTGTTTCAAGGATCTGAGGATTTGGCAAGATGCAAAAGGCAAAGTGTATACAGCAAAAGGCAGCGTGATTACCAGAAAAGGCAACGTCCAGGGCTCAGAAGGCCCGGCCTCCAGTCTCCGCTCTGCCTGGCTTGCTGTGTGACTTTGGACAATACTCTTGCTATTTCTGGGCCTCAGTTCTCTTCAGTGGCAGATCAGTAAACCAAGATTTCTGGAGGGCCTTCTGTGAAACTGAACTGGGTCCAAGAACAGTGGTCTCAACTTACATGTCCTACAGGGTCCTTCTCAGCCTGTGCTAGACTTCTTCCAAGGGGCCCTCCCTGATAGGGTCTGGAGGGCTCGAAAAGGAACCCCCCATCTGGCATTAAGCCGGGTGAGGGGCCCTTCAGAGATCCCAAGTTGAAGACCGAGTCTCAGCGACTTGGCCTCTGCTGAGCTCCTGCACCCGCCTCTGCTCCCTTCCCAGCCCCCACACTGCTGTCAGCCAGTCACTTTACAGTCGCAACTTACGGAGCACTTTTCTGTCTGCCTTCCATCTGGTCATCACCAGGCGGCACAGAGAGGACAAGCCTCTGCCACACTCACCCAGGAAGTAGTGGGAGGATTGAGTCTCAAAACCAGGTCTCCTGAGTCCCCATGGGGTACAGGACCTTTCATCCCTATTCTGTGGTTTTCTCATCTGTAAAGCAGGGATGAAATGGTGTCTACCTCATAGGGATTTTGTGAGAAATAAATGAGTTAATACATGTAAAGTGCTTAGAACCAGGCCTGGCATGTAGTAGGTACTCAATGTCAGCTGCTAGTGTCACTGTTGTCATGTGATAACGCTGCTCCAGGATGGGGATAAGGATTGACTGAAATGTTCCTTGGAGATAATAAAAAGAAAGATTTGCAAACTCTGAAGTAATAGATAAGTTTAAATATTATCTAACACATCCTGGACTGGAATACTGAGCAGACGGTTCTAGGCTATTGAGCTACGGACCTTTCATGCTGAGGCCCATGTTTCAGGTAACTAAATAAAGGAAACATCTAGAGGATTCTGGGTATAAATAGTTAGACTCATTTCAGAGAGGTCCCCAGGTAAACTCTTTTGTGGCAGCTGTCTGACATAAGTTACCCTGTGCGATCAAGTTCACTGTTATTCTTGGGATGAGGAATTACCAATTGGATCAGATGGAGTCGGGCCCCAGGGTCGTCAGGGCTGTGTTCTCCAAGCATGGGATTTTTGGAACCCAGTTCAGAGACTGTACTGGGAAGTTTGGCTTGTTGGAGAGCAGGAAGAACACTTGGTGGTTCAAGAGGAATAGAAAACTAGGCAAAGGAAAATGTGAGAGGCTGAAAACCCCCAGCTGGGATGCTGACCTTGAGTGAGTACCTGGATGGATGCATGGATGATTGGACAGGAAGATTTAGTTGCAAATGGAAATGCTCTCTCTTCCTCTGAACCACCCAATGAGGATGATAGATTAGTGGTGAGATCAGCAGACTTCAGCAGCCAAATAGAAAAAATGGATTTAGCAGGAATCGTTGAACCCAGAAAGGATGTAGAGTTCAGAAATGAACACCACCAGCAGCGTGGGGGAGAAGCAAAGAAACCAGTGGTGTCCATGAATGTGGAGGGATAGGGAAAAGCTTTGAGAATGGGAAAGGTGGGCCCTGGAGACAGATTCAGCAGGCATTCCCAACGCTTAGCTGCATTATGTTCCTGGAACCCTGGCATAAAGGTCATGGAAAATAGGTAACTGCTACGGTTATCTCTATGCCTGCAGTCACTCCTTTTGGCCACTAGATGTCAAGAACACGTTGATCTGGCACATGTTGTGGTCCATTGAGTTGTCTGGAAAAAAGTTTAGTGGAAGTGGCATAAGGAGTGGATGCAATCAGCAGGAAGAGGATCTCTAGAGGCTTTAGGGCAACTGCGCATGATCAAAAATGCGTGGAATGCAGAGGAGAGGACTTTCCACCAAGACCCACGAGGAAAAGTTGATTACGTTTTTTTCATTTGTTGTTTTGAAATTTTGGAATGTTTTCAGGATGAAAGAAGGAGGGAGAAACATAGGACAGAATAAAAATTTTCACGTTAGCTAATGTTCTCTAGCGTTTGTAGCATTTTTCTGAAGGCAAGTGAGTACATTCAAAGTTCTTAAACCCTCAGTCCAAATCAGGGATGATGATGATGGTGATGGTGATGGTGATGATGATGGTGATATGATGATAGTGATTATGATGATGATGGTATGATGATGGTGATGATGATGATGATGATGATGATGTGATGATGGTGATGATGATAGTGATGATGATGATGGTTTGATGATGATGGTATAATGATGGCAATGATGATGATGGTGTGATGATGATATGATGATGATGATGATGATGATGATGATATGATGATGGTGATGCTGATGGTAGCAGCTAATGCCTACATGGCTTTTACTATGTGGCAGGTATTGTTCTCAGCACTTGACAAAAATTAACTCCTTTAGTCCTCACAACAAACCTAGGAGGTAGGTGCTATTATTATCCCCATTTTACAGATGAGGAAGCAGAGGTCAGACAGGTTACTTGACTTGTCCAAGGTCACACAGCTGGCAAGTGGCAGCAACAGGATTCAGCCCAGACATCTGGGTCCAGAGTTCATAGTTTTACCTACTGTGCGCTACAATAGATGTTGCCCCCGTTGACTCCTGGCTTATAGCAAAGGGAACTTTCTGAGCAACAGATCAGGGCTGTGATTTAATGATAAGAGTCACAGAAGAATTCCTCGTTCTAATAAACTTACTTCACATGAGAATGAATAAGGTTATAATGTTGACCAGTAATTCATTCCAAGTTCCCTAACTTAAAGGGCCTGGTTAGGCAGGAGCACATCCCATCCCTAGGTGGAAGCCTCTGCTTTATTAGCTGCTGTAATTATCCAAACAACAGGAGGAGAGAACAAACAAGTCTCAGGAGCCATGAATTCCAGAAATTCCTTATGTTTCTTAGCATAGAAAGATGATCCTAAATTTAATATTGCAAAGGAAAAGTATATTCCTAGTTGGGGACTGGGAGACAGGATACGGTTGGTATGGGACTGTCTAGCTTGCTCTAAGGCTGCCAAAAGTATTCACATGTGCTGAACAAATGGTAATGAATTAAGGGAACAGTATGATATGATAGAAAAAGTGGTGGATTAAAAGTCAGAGACCATTTCTAATTTGGTTAAATATACACTTACTATGACCCTCCATTCCACTCCTAGGTATTTACCTAAGAGAAATGAAATCATATGTCCATGCAAAGAATTATACATGAACATTCATAGCAGCTTTATTCATAATAGCCCCAAACTGCAAACAACCCAGATAACTATCAACATATGAATAGATAAACAAATTGTGGCATAGCCGTACAATGGAATACTACTCAGCAATAAAAAAAGAACTTCTGATACATGCAACAACATGGGAGAATTTCATGAGTGAAAGAGGGCAGACCCAAAAGAGTTTATACTCTATGGTTCCATGTATATGAAGTTCTAGAACACACAAAACCAATCTACAATGATAGAAAGCAAATCAGTGATTCCCTGAGTCTAGGGTAGGGGATGGGGATCGACTGCAAAGGGGCATGAAGGATCTTGTTGGTGTGATGAAAGTGTTCTATATCTTGATTTTGGTGTTGGCCATACGGATGTAAAATCTGGAGACTGCGCTGATAATGCTGTATGGATAAACCACTTTGCCCTTCTGGGCCTCAGTTTCCCTATTTGTAAAATAGGGTTGGCTTAGATGGTTGGCTTAGATGACATCTAGGATTTCTTCTGACTCAAAAATCCCCTTGTTATAAAAATATCCAACTTTTATTATGGAAGTAGAGCAGCAAAGTGCAATTTGCTTTATAGGAATTCATTTATTTAATAGCCAAGGATGGGTTTATTTCAGGGAGCATAGAATATCCATTAGGTTACCCATTAATACTCCTTTTGGGGACAGAGCCATTTGCAGGCCACCTTTACTTAAGGAAACAGCTGAGAAAACTATTTGTGTGTGAGTAAGAAGGATATTCCCATAGAAGTCCCATGAAGACCTGAGGAAGGGCTTTCCCAGTGACACTGGGGGGAGCAGGAGAGGGACACAAGAGTCATGGCCGAGAAGGCTAGAGAGGGCAGCTGAGGAGGGACCAAGTTTGCCATATCACCTCTGAGCCCCCCAAATGCCTGAGGGGCTGTGGTTGCCCTTTTTAATTTCCTCTTTACTGGTCCATTCCTGGCACTTAGTAAGGCCTTAATGATGGTGATGATGATGACGACGATGATGATGAAGCTGCTATGATGATCATCATCATTTCCAGTCCTCAGAGAGTTTGTGCAAAAGTAAGAACTGCGGGCGCTCAGAGTGTGTCGTGGGAGGAGGGCGGGGCGGAGCTGCCCGGAGCGCAGAACTTGGGAGGGGCTGGGAGCACTAGGACCGCCCCTGCTGGGCGATAATCCGCTGCTGATTTCCCACGCTGTGTCCCCAGGTCATGAAAACCTACCACATGTACCACGCGGAGAGCATCAGTGCGGAAAGCAAGCTGAAGGAGGCCGAGAAGCAGGAGGAGAAGCAGTTCAATAAATCGGGAGACCTTAGCATGAACCTGCTCCGGCACGAGGACCGGCCCCAGCGCCGCAGCTCCGTGAAGAAGATTGAGAAGATGAAGGAGAAGGCGAGTGAAGACCCCAGGCCAGGAGAGAGCGAGGGCGGGGCAGGAAGGGGCGGGCCTTCCCCCTCTGCACTCTGCCCCCTGGGGGAGGCGGTGAACTAATGCTGCCAGCGTCTGCTCTCTTGGAGATCAGTGTCCTGGAGAAGGAGGGCTGGGCATGTTTCTGCTGGCACTTGTTAGGCCTGGCCTCCCGCCCGGGTCAACAGGCGGGGAGAGGTGCTCAGCTGACAAGAGAGCAGAACTATGACGAGACTCCCGTCCAGCGAGCACATTCGTGGATGGGCGGGAATCACCAGACATTAGCGGGGCCCGGGCTTGCCCCAGAGGTCAGTTCGGTGGCTGGGGGTGCTGTTTGGGGCTGTTTGGGACTGACTGTGTCCCGACAAGAAGGAACAGCACTGGGCTACCCACCAGCACCTGGGAACCCAATGAAGAACCCATTCTGAAATTGCCACTGCCCAGCAAGGATGGGTGATTTAGATCACTGTGTACTAGTGCTGGAAAAGTGCTTTCTTGTGGGGTGTGGTGAAAGGAGCTAGCTTTGGAGTCAGACAGGCTGGGTTTTGAAAATGCCACATTTATAACACATCTCTGAACTTCAGTTTTAAAATCTGACAATGATGGCAAATAAATTTCCTCTCTCATGTCAACTCTGATCAATTGGCAGTGGCTCCAGGCTTTAGTTAAAAACAGTGCTGTGATCAATTAATGATGTCTGCCATGGCCAGGGAATTTGGAGGGGCAGTGCACATGCTGCTTTTTTGTCATCCTAGACTAGGTTACTTCTAAGGTTCCTTTCTTCTTAAAAGGCTATGATTTGTTTTATTGAATTCCCTACATTCATTCATTCCATGCAATCAGCAAACATTTCCTGAGCTCTTTCTATGTGACAAATATTGCACCAGATGTTTATTTGGGCTTCTATGAGTCTAATTCTATGATTATATGATCCTATAGCTGTGAAAATCATAGGAGATTGGGTGGGAACAAAATCCAACAGTACCTGGATGTGGTGGAAAAGTAACCAGAGGCAAATAAAATAAAATCTCAAGGTGATTTCTGAAGGCAAAGAAAAATATGCTTCACAATAACCAGGCAGAGACACAATTTTAAAAAATGAGCAAAAGGTTTGAATAGAGATTTTTCCAAAGAACATACACAAATGACCAATAAGTACATGAAGAGATGCTCAGCATCATTAGTCATTAAGGAAATGCGAATCAAAACCACAGTGAGATACTACTTCATACCCACTAGGACAGCTGAAATAAAAAAGGCAGACAATAACGAGTGTTGGTGAGGATGTGGAGAAATTGGAACCCTTGTACACTGCTGAAGGGAATGTAAAATGGTTCAGCCACTTTGGAAAACAGTTTGTCCATTCCTCAAAATGTTAAACATAGACTAAGTTACCATTTGATTCAACAATTCCACTCCTAGCTGTCTACTCAAGATAAATGAAAACATATGTCCATACAAAAATTTGTACACAAATGTTCATAGCAGCATTATTCATAAAAGCCAAAACGTGGAAACAACCCATACATCCATCAACTGATGAATAGATGAATAAAATGTGGTACATCCATGCAATGGAATATTATTCAGTCATAAAAAGGAATGGAGTACTGATTCATGCTACAACATGGATGAATTTTGAAAACATTATGTTAAGTGAAAGCAGCCAGACACAAAAGGCCACATTTTGTAGGATTCTATTTATATGAAATATCCAAGACAGACAAATCCATAGAGACAGAAAGTAGATTATTGGTTGCCAGGGGATGCGGCAGAGGAGATTGGAGAGTGGTTGCTAATGGGTGCAGGGATTCTTTTTGGGGTGATGAAAATATTCTAAATTTAGATAGTGGTGATGGTTGTACAACTCTGTGAATTAAGAGAGTAAATACAAATAAGATAACCAGGCAGGAAATTACAGAACTACAGCACAGGGGGCTATATACAAGGATAGAAAGAGTACTGGCTGGGGAGTCTGGAGACTGATTTTCAGGTCAGAGTTGTGTGTTAATTAGCCATTGGGCTCTTGGACAAGCCACTGCTCCTCTTCTGTTCTCATTTCTTCACCTATAAAATGGATGAATTAAACCAATACACCTTTAATATCCTTTCCAGGTATAAAATTTGATGAGTTCATGAAGGGCTGAAAATGGTCTCATGGTCCTAGTAGCCCCCTAGAAGTGGGCCAGAGTATCAAAACTCTCTGGGGGGGGTTGGGTCCGTGGCTGGCATAGGATGTAACTGCCAAGAGAAGTTTGTTTCTGGAAATTCCCAGAATAAGAGAACTCTGGAGAAAGGTCAGAGGAGATCTCCGAAGAGAATTAAAAGGTTGACAATGGGGCACCTCTCTTATATGGCTAGGAGAACTCCATCTGGAATAAGGAGGGTTTAAGAGTGCCTAGGGGCTGGAGGAAAACCCTGTTTCTTTAAGGAGAGCTGTCTTTTGCCCAGCAGTGGGACTCATCAGTCTGACAGGGGCAGGGGGAGAGCTCTCCAACCCACTTGCTCTTCCCACCCAGGGTGGCCCAGAAGCAGCTTCCTAGGAGGCAGTTGGGTTCCTAGGCAAGCCCAGCCCCTCTGGCTGTCCCACCACTCACATCCAGACCACTGGGGAATCATTTAATGCCTGCCTGTGCAGGGACGGTTCTAGGTGCTGTGGGCCCAGCAGTGAACAAGGCAGGTCAGGTCCCTGATTCATAGAGCTTACCGTCTAGTGGGGGACACCAAAACTCAGCAAGTAAACCAAGAGGTAAACAAATATCATTTCAGGTGCTGAAAGTGCTTATGAAGAAAAATAGAGCAACCAAGACGTCCTTCAGTAGGTGAACGGGTAGTAAATCGTGGTCCATCCAGAAAATGGAATATGGTTCAGCAGTAAAAGGCAATGAGCTATCAAGCCATGACAAGACATGGAGGAACCTTAAATGCATATGACTAAGTGAAAGAAGCCAATCTGAAAAGGCTTCTCTGGAAAAGGCAAACGGTCAAAAGGAGCCAGTAAAAAGATCAGTGGTGGCCAGGGGTCAGGTGGGAGGGAGGGATGAATAGGTGGAGCACAGAGGATTTTTCGGGCAGGGAAACTGCTCTGTCTGATACTATAATGGTGGCTCATGTCATTACACATTTGTTGAAACCCATAGAATGTACAACACCAAGAGTGAACCCTAAGGTAGACTATGGACTCTGGGTGATTATGTTGTGTCAACGTAGGTTCATCAATTGTAACACGTGTACCACTCTGGTGGGGGATGCTGATGAGGGGCGAGGCTGTGCGTGTGTGGAGGCAGGAGGTATATGGGAAATCTCTGCACTATTTCGCTGTGAACCTAAAAGTGCTCTTAAAAAGTAAAGTCTTAAAAAATTAAATAAAAATGAAAATAATCACTGAAAATTGAATAAAGATTAAATAAATGAAAAAATAGGGCAGGGCGAGGGGATAGCAGTGTGGGGGAAGGGGCAGTGGAGATGCTGGAGACACACTTTAGGCAAGGGTGCCATCAGAGGCCGACCTGACCGTGTGACCCTGGGTAAGGACCTGAATGAAATGGAGGAACAGGCCACGTTAGAGATTTGGAAGGGTGGTCTGCCAGGCGGAGGGAACAATGAGTCTGAAGTCCTAGGGGCGGGAATGAACTTGGCCTCTTAAAGGATGGGCAGAGGAGGCCAGGTGGTGAAGGGGAGGGTGGAGGTAGAGGGGCTCACGGGGTGGACAGGAGCCAGGTTGTGGTAGCTTCACAGGCCGCCCTCACAGTTCAAGCAGCTGTAGGGTGTTGAGTAGGGGCCTCAGGAGGCCCTGCTTCCGCCTGCTCTGATGGAGACCAGTGCAAGGCTGCTGCTTACTGAAGAGTGCCGTCGTTGGCTGCACGTGTGCCACGGAAGGTGCGCTTTTTGAGTACAGGGTCCACATCTCACTCACCTGACATGTGGAGAAAGGCATTCCAGAGGAGTGCTGGAGATTGAATCGCAGGCCGTGACCATAAAGAAAATCTCAACTCCCTCCCATCAAAGGCTCAGCTCTTACATCTACTCTCTTTTTCTTCCAGAGGCAGGCAAAGTATTCTGAGAACAAGCTGAAATGCACGAAGGCCCGGAATGACTACTTGCTGAACCTGGCGGCCACCAATGCAGCTATAAGCAAATACTACATCCACGATGTCTCCGACCTAATCGACGTGAGCACCGGGGACCCTGCACCTGGGCTGGCACAAATCATCAGCTGAAGGAGGGGTGGCCCTGGTCTTTTAGCTGACATGTCAGGGTGGCATGTCCCTTGAGCCCTGGTGGAGGGGAAGGGCAATGAGCACCAGGGGCCTGGGAGATGAGTCTCACCTCCTGGTTTCCACTTCCATGGGTGGGAGTGGACCTCTGATGGCCCCTACATGGTGGGGTCAGGCAGTCATATATTCAAGGTGTGCTTCCCAGGTACCCTTCTCTACACCAGGCCCTTTGCTGAGTTTGGGGGTACAAGGGTGATCGCACACAGTTCATGCCATGAGGGACTTCCCAGGGTGGTGAAGACGTTTATATGTTCAGTGCCCCCAGGTCTAGCTCGCCAGACACACACATGCACATGAAAGAAAATAACGATTGAGACAAAATTACACAGATCAGCTTTGTGTGGGGATGTTATCCTGGGAGAAATCAGGCAGTTTAAGGGAAAGGAGAATGGGACGCTGACGTCTGAGCACCAGCTGTGCCGGACGCTCTGGAGGGAAGCTGGGCTTGGAGAAGGAGCATCAGGAGTGGTGCCGTGGGGGAGGGCTTCTGTGTAATCTGTTGGAGCTGGAACTGTTTATGTCTCCCCATCCCACGCACACAGGGATCTGGCCCAGTTGATGCTCAGCAAAGATTCCGTACTGGTGGATTCTTTCTCTCTGGCCCAGGAAGGCAGAGGGTCACCACTTTTCCCATGGCGACAGAGGGGACCCATTACCCCCTCCCCAAGGAGAGGGAGCTGCTCGGCCTTGCCCGGGCCTTCCAAATGGCCCGAGGCCAGCCTCCTCCTCTTTCCCACCTTTCAAGTTTCCTTTCCACTCTTTCTAGCCCTTTCATTTGCCAAATTTTTATTGAGCACCTGCTAGCTCTAAGTCTTGAGGTGCTGCGGTGGACAAGAGCCAGCAAGTCTGCATAACCCTGACATGTTAACAGCCAATTCAAATGTCAAGTGGCGGGTGTCACAGTGGGGGGGGGGGGGCATGTGGACTCCGGAGGAGGGACACCTGATGTAAACTCTGAGTGGGGAGAACATCAAGGAAGGCTTCCTGGAGGAAGTGACCTCTAAACTGAAACCTGAAGGAAGAGTATTTAGGCAGGAAGAGAAAGGAAGAGTCTTCCAGGCCGAGGGGGTGTGTGTGTGAAAGCCTAGAGATGAGAAAGGATGTGGTAAATTTGGGGAGCTGAGAGGAGCTCAGCTGTTGCCCAATTTGCAATGTCCAGCTCCCTCTGAGGCCTTTGGTGATTTGGGCGGTGGGATTCTGAAGTGCCCAAGGGCTTCCAGGGTGAAACATTCGACAGTGGAGTGAGAGGTGATCATAAGTCACAGTGATGGGAGAGGAAACACCTGTGGAGCCCCCTCCACGCACAGCCCCCCCTCACCCTTCTGTTGTGTGCCTCTCTCCAAGTGCTGTGACTTGGGCTTCCACGCCAGCCTGGCCCGCACCTTCCGGACCTACCTCTCTGCTGAGTACAACCTGGAGACCTCTCGCCACGAGGGGCTGGACGTCATCGAGAACGCAGTGGACAACCTGGATTCCCGAAGTGACAAGCACACTGTCATGGACATGTGCAACCAGGTCTTCTGTCCTCCACTCAAGTTTGAGTTCCAGCCCCACATGGGGGATGAGGTAGGTGTCTCCTGGGAGCCCCTGCTTGAGGCTGCTTCGGTCTCCTCTCCCCCGTGCTTCCAGAATGTTGGTGAGAGGGGAATGTCAGCCCTGGTCCACATGCAGGACGTGTGTCTCAGAGGCCTGGGGTCAAGTTCTTGATTCATGGACTTGCCCAGCCGAGGAGTTTACCGCTAATACCCTGATCTTGCGGCTGAAGTCCCCCACCTGCAGAATTGCAGGACCTTAGCTGCCCTTAAAATCCCTCCCAGTTATGTCTAGAGGACCCGCAGGGAGTCCCACATCTGCACACAAACAGTTGTCTGACGTTCTTCTCTCGATGCCCTTGGATCACGGAAGGCTGGGCCTCACCACAGCCACTCCAGCCAGCTCCCTCACCAGGGCACAGCCTGTCTTCCACTACTCTGAGTCCTTGGCGTACCAGCCAGCTCATTTCCTTCAGTGCTTGTGCAGCTCAGATCCTTGCTATGTTCTGGGGGAAAAAATGGGAGAAGGCACTTGTCACTGGCCCCAAAGCAACACACTAGTTATCCAGGTTTCGCAAATTCCCTTATGCAAATAACTCCTTGAGCATTTGCATGTCATTCTTCCATCTCTCTAGGGCTCAGGCACTAGTCCCCAGAACCAGTGGGAGGACAGCCAGCAGTTGTCACATCTGCCTGCCCATCTCTGCCATCTCCAACCCCAGGGATATGTGCACAGAACTCTCTCATAGTGGCCCCATTTCCTCCACCTAGACATAGGCCACCCATGCACATGGGAGTCGGGAGGACTCAGACCAGTGGTGTACTGGACCCCACCAACCTCTGGGTCCCAGTGGGAGCTCAGCTGGGCCATCCGCTGTACCTGGTTGGCAGGGAGGGACAAGGAGGCCCCTTAAAAGATGGCGTTTGCTGCAACTTCCTGATGAATCTGTCCACTTCCTTTGTTTGCATAAGAGAGGCCTTCTGCAGGGCTTCCCCACAGCTCCCACACCATCCCTTTGCCCTCATGTCCAGCCCTTTTGGCCCATCATCTGGACCTGAGAATTCTAGCTTCATGGTTACCACTGGTAACTGTGAAGTCTGGGTTACCTAGTTAGTGGTAAATAACTAGTAAATTTCAGAGCCCTTCTGTCTGTTATGATCTCAGCTGAGCTATGCCAGGCAGCCCAGCCCACAGGTAGGAACAGAGCCCTGGGTGGAATGGGTGTAGAGAGAACAGTATTCTCTCCACTCTTGCCCTCCTCCACCTCTCACCCACTCAGCCTCGGGAAGCGGGGCCGTGAGAGCAATTGCCTCGTGGCTGCCTCTGAAGCATCTTCCCACTGGAGAGTCAGAGCACTGGCTGCTTGTTTCCCATTCATTGTTCTTTTCATTGGCTTCTTGTAGGTGGTAACTTTCTTACCACAACTTTCTGCCTAGAAATTTACTAACTAATCTCACTTAATGAGGTGGTGGGAAAGCTGTTAGTAAACCCTCAAGTGCTGTGCAAATGTAGACGACTGAGAGGCCACACCTTGCAATGCGAGAGGGTGGTCCCTGGTTCCGTCTAGCGTTCCCAGGTACAAGCTGTGTGGCCTTGGGCAGGTCACTTAACCTTTCCCAGCCTGTTTCCTCAGCTGTTGATAGGGATATTAATGAGAGCTCCTGCCCTAGCTCCACACAGGTGATGAGGGCACTGGGTGACCGCAGGTGGTGGCTGGTATTTCTGCAGGTGTGCCAGGTGAGCGCTCAGCAGCCCGTCCAGACAGAATTACTCATGCGGTACCACCAGCTGCAGTCCAGACTGGCCACTCTCAAGATAGAGAATGAGGAGGTGAGTGAGCCCCTCTGCCCTGGGAGGGATTTCCTGACAAGGGCCTGGCTGATCCTGGGAAGTCGACTCTCGCTATGGAACACATAAGAAAAATGAGGGTTCATCTGTAAGATGGAATATTGCACAACCATTAAAACCATGCACACCAAGAATATTTAATGGTGTGGGGGAATGCTCACAAGATGTTAAAGAAAAACGAAGAGGAAGTAGACCTCTATATTCAGTGTTATCCTGACCAGAGTAAACTAAAGTACATGCTTATGTATCTGTGTGTATTCATAGGCATAGAAAAAAGACTGGAAGGAAATACTTTGAAATGTTAATTGTGGTTATGTCTGGGTTGTGGGATTTTAGGTGATTTCTGTTTTTTTCTTTGTGCTTTTGTCTATTTTCTGCAATGAGTTTATGTTATTTTTATCATCAGAAATAATAGTAGGTATTTTAAATTAAACAATGAAATAAACAACCTGGGGCACACTAAATGTGTCATGGATTCTGAGCTCCAAGGAACTTCTGTCTTACCGTGGCCAGCACACCTCCCATGCAGCTGGGGACATAGGATTACCTCTGGGAGGGTACCAGTGGAAATACCAGCCGTGATGGTTCCATTCTTATGTGAACTGATGAGGCCAGGTGGGAAACATCCTATTCCAACCTGGATGCTTCCACGCAGGGAGGATGTCAACCAGCTAGAGGACACCCGGGTGTGGGAGTGTCATTCGAGATGGTGGGCAGATTTGTCCTTGAGAAGTGCAGTCATGGCAGGAGATGGAGAGTCATGGACCCTGTCTTCACATCTCAAGAGGGCTATCCTGGTCAGAGAGGGCAGGGGTGCTTTGTGTCTCCACAAAGGACAGAGCTAGGATGAACGTGAGGCAGACTGTAGCTTAGGATGGGAACAAGTCAAGGCAGTCCCTGGGGGGAGGTTATATGGAGATAGATTGTGTATTTGTTTTTCAAACCTGAGAAGAGAGAGGAGTTGAACAGAGTGTTTTCTTTATTTATTTATGCCCTACATCTTCCCTTAAAGCGGTTTAAATTGTTTACGTGGAACAGTATGTGGATAATAATGTTAATGGAATTTAGATTGGAAATCGGGGCCACAGGAAGGAGAATGAAGCAAGTGTTCCTCTGAACAGGCTGCTCATGGCCATAGAAATGCTTAATCTTGAACCTGAACTTTCTGTCAGGCTACGTTAGAAAGAAGAACTGATTCATTCAATGAGTGTTTATTCAAATAATATTTATTCAGGTATTTATTAAGCACATACAAAGCACTCAACACTGTGCTCGATGCAGAGTGAAGTGAGTGAACAAGACAACATAGTACCTCCTCTCATGGAGTCTATGTTCTAGTGAGAAAAGACAGAATAATTAAAACACAAGAACAGACAAACCAATAAATGAATGAGTATGCAACATATTAGACAGTGATAGGCACTAAGTTAAGAACGGTGGTTAGGGGAGCCTAATGTCACCAGCAGGTAACATTTGAGATCTGAGTGACAAGAAATAGACTTTGAATGACAATAATTTAACTACAAATGTAGATGAGTTTCTCCAGGGACTGTTTTTGGAATGACCCTCCACCAAAGTATAGGGTCTGCCATTTAGGAACAATTCAGTGAAGGAGTGTTGTGAGGTGGGGCTCCGCATGTGCAGCCTCCCGGGGGTCCCACTCGGTTCCGGGAGAGTAGCTGGTGTCCTGGAGGACTGACCAGACCACGTGTGTCTCAGCATCTGTCTTCCTCGACGTTCTCTTTTCTCCGTCAGCCTTTCGCTAGGACTCAGATGGCAAATAGCTGGAGGGTTCATTCCCTGAGGATGGCTGCACACCTCGTCCAGACCTTGTCCCTTCCCTTCTCTGGATGAAGTGAACCGAGAGTATTTCTTGTGTTCACCCTCCTCGAGGGACCTGCCTCCTATTGGAGGAGCTAGTTTGGGGCTATAGAACCAGGTAAAGAGAAACAAGCCTAGAAACCCGAGTTCCTTGTCCGTCACAACATTTTCCAAGGTTCTCTCTGGCAGAAGCAATCCCATAAAATGACTTTAGGTTGGGCAACCTGGCTTCTCACCCCAGCCAGCTACCTGGTCTTACTTTCCACATCAGTATAATGGGAATGATCGTCTTAGTTCTGCCTGCCTCCTAGGAGCTATATATCGAAGAAACAGAGTAACGGTTGGAAAGAGGACTTGGAGGTGTCAAAGGCAGTCTGAGGCTGAAGGGTTTTTGTTGACATGCTGTGTTTCCCCAGGTGAGAAAAACCCTGGATGCCACCATGCAGACCTTACAGGACATGCTGACCGTGGAGGACTTTGACGTCTCCGACGCCTTCCAACACAGTCGGTCCACAGAGTCTGTCAAGTCGGCCGCCTCTGAGACCTACATGAGCAAGATCAACATCGCCAAAAGGAGAGCCAACCAGCAGGAAACAGAAATGTTTTATTTTACAGTAAGTGGCCTCCTGGACCCAGAACCCAGGGTCTGTCTGCTCACCTGCTGGCAGTGACTCTTGGGGAGCAGCCCAAGCTAGTGGGAGCCAGCAAAACCACATGGATCAGTTAGACCTAAAATTTTTCCACCATGCTTCTCAACTTAAGATGCCCGGCTTGGCTTTGTGAAATGCAGCAAGTGAATCAGCAATAGGTAGCGTCAGCATTGACCTAAGACTGATGATTATTGCAACTTTTCTGCTCTGGAAAAAAGCCAGAGAGAGAGTTGTCTTCAGTATGGTAAGAGAAACATGGCTTACGGAGCCAGGTGCGAGCCCCGAGGAACAACCTTAAGGTCATGTGTGTGGTTGTCATGTTGAGTTATCTTCAATTTGGGTGTGGGCTTTGGAAACAGCATCCTGGGTGAGCCCTGCAAATTGCTGGTGGGTTGCCGCCCTTCATGTAAAACCCCAGATTACTTACATTCCACATGGCCGGGGCAGGGAGGAGCATGGGGCTTCAGTTCAACATGTGTTCAGTGAACATAGAATTTTAGGGTTGCAAGGAACCTTCAATCTTCTGTCTGACGCTTGATTGTATTCAACCATATCCCTGCCAAAAATTCATCCCAACTCTGCTGGCACCGCCCCAGGATTAAAAGCTCCCTCCTTCCCCAAACAGCCCTTTTGTTTGGCTTGACACTGGCTATAAATATTATAATGTTTCCCCTTATCTGTGTTATCTTCAAAAACCTGCTTCACTAGGATTTCCGGTCACTGATCTTGATTCTGTTCTCTGGGGCAACCCAGAGAGAGGCTAATGCTACATGACAGTCTTTGGTGTGGTTGCAGGGAGCTGGGTTTTCATTTCTCCAGGCTACTCATATCTGATTCTTTCAATCCTGCCTCATAAGCTTTCATTTTGAGTGCTCTCAGCATCCTGGTGACTGTCTCCTGAACATTTTCCGTTGTCAATGCCTCTTCTAAGGTGAGACTCCTAGCAGTGGTCTGACCAGCACGGAATAGAGCTAAACTTTCACCTCTTTCCACCCTAGGTGCTGTGCTCCTTTTCATACATCCTAAGATCATGTTCTTTTTTTTTTTTTAAGCTAATATTTAAGCTAAGTGAAATCTCCATTCCCTATGTACTGCCGTTAAACCAGGCCACCCTCCTCCTAAAGGATGTATAAGTGATTTCTTAGGTAGGTCTTCTGTTTATCACCAGTTAGATTTCCTCTTGATGGATTCAGTTCATGGCTCCAGCCTGTCGAGATCCTGATCCAGTTTTTCAATGTATATGTTGTCTCTTCAGACCTTATGTCGTCTGCAGATTCACTGAGCATGGCTTCCATACCTTAAAGCTTGTCACTAAAAAAACTAATGGGTATGCCAGGGCCAAGGCCAAAGACAGGTTGTTCCAAACATGCCACTGGACTGATATTGACTTGCTTGTCAGCACTCTTAGATTCTGGTCATTTGACCAGTCACAGACCCACCCCGTTCTAACATCCAGTTCCATCTTGTGACAGGCCTTGTCAAATCCTTTGTTGAAAACCGATAGTTGACTCGTACTGCATTTCCTCGATCAACACTCTTGGAGTTTGTTGTTTTCAAGAAAGAAGACAAAGCTAGTCTTAGTGAATCAGCCCATGCCGATTTCTGGGGTTCACCACTTCCAGTGGGGACCTACTGTGTTTGCCAAGAGAATTTATGGGTTACAAAGATAAGCGAGGAGTGCATATGAGTATTCATTCACTTTGGCAGCAGAAGCAAAGAAATCTGGGTGGCAGAACCAGAGAAGGCGGTCCAGTCTGCTTGAAATTAAAAGACAAAATTCACCAACGTCCATGATTAAGGGTCATGGATGTTATATTTTCATCTTAATATTCAATTTATCAACCTGGTTGGCAGTACACTCATGACTCGCGTTGTGACATTATTTCAGGTATTTTTAAGGGCATAATATTCCTTTTACTGCATCAGTACAATTTGATGGCATTCTTTCCTTCATGGGTTCACGTGACACCTGGGTGAAGCTTGGAAGAAGTGGGCAGAGTCCATGGGCCTGGAGCCCGGGGTGTAATTTGCACTGACCGGTGAATAACCCACCAAGGTGTGAGTTACATGTTTGGGATTAGAGCTTCAACTACCAGGGCAGCGAGGCATGGTGGAGAAAATACCTACTTATACCTCAGCTCTGCTTGTTATGGTGAATTCTTAAACACGTGATAACATCAGAGGGTGTTATTGCTGGAAGCATCCAGAGAGAGCCTCTAGGTGAGTAGTTGTCACACTGAAGTGAGCATTTGGATTGTTTGGGAAGCTGGTTAAAAATGTGGGTTCCCAGACTACCACCTCCCCAAGATGGGGCCGGGAAGTGTGAACACTACTGGCCTCTGTGGTGCCCTCCTCAGATGTAAAATGAGGGGTTAGACTCACAGTCTTCAGAGCAGGAAGCTGCGTTTTGACACTCTCCCCGGCTGGGTAGGAGGCCACTGGTCCCCGCACCGCACTTGGAAAAACACTGTCTACTCTCTCTTCACCCCAGGGAGGGCAGGGAGGCCCTGAAGTGTTCAGTCATCTGCCACACACAGAGTGAGTGGCCACAGCTCCCAGCTCCTGTCTCCTTCTGGGTAGAATGGGAATGACAATGCCTCCCCCATTTGCCATCCTACACTGTGGTGGGGACCAAATGCACATGTTTGAAAACTGTCGAGTGCTCTACGGATACAAGAGAGAGTGACTCTTAACAACCAAGGGACAAGGTCCTAGGAGCTAAGAAGGACCATGGCCAAGGAGAGGGGACGCCACAATCTCCCACCAGCTCAGCCATTCCAGAACCCCCTGAAGTGGGGCCAGGGTGAGGTGACCCCAATCTTAGCTGCACACATGTCACCCTCCACCCCATGGGCCCACACCCTACAACTGTCTTTAACAGGAAGATGCTGATATTCCAGACGCTACTTTACAGGTCATATTGGGGCGTCCTGAGCCTCTGCGGCTCACTTCTCCGCTCCTCTGCACCCCTCTCTGAGCATTCTGGCTGGGGCAATAGAATGGATTTCTTTGGGAGAAACTGGCTGGCAGATTTGGGGCAGTCACACTCGTCCCCCTGCCTTCATTCTCAGGGCTTTTGCAATTGCCATTCTGGCTGCTTAGAGCGCTCCTTCCCCCCCGGTACCCATACGGCCCTTCCTCACCTCCTTCAGGCCTTGGCTCAAATGTCAGCTTTGCAGCGAGGTCCACCCTGACTCCCAGGCCCCCGTTCCTGCCTTCTTTTCATCCATAGCATTCACCACCATCTGACCAATCGTGTATTTTACTTACTTTTGGCTAGCTTATTATCTCTCTCCCCACTGTCTCTGTCAGCCCCACCAGACCAGGGGTTCAGCTACGTGTCTCAGCACTGACTGTACACCAATCACAGCTGTAGGCACTGGGGATCCAGAAATGAACTGGGCGTGGACCACACCTGCAGCGGCTCACAGTCCAGCCAAGGCAGGCCCCAGCAGACGGGGCTCCGGGCCTGTGTTTGGGCAATGCAGGGTGGGCAGGGGGCGAGGAAAGATGGCACCTGTGCAGAGGCGTGGCTGAGGCCCCACTGAACTGGGGGCAGGTTGCTGCATTTCTCTTCTGGATGGCCCCATCCCTCCACACTGCTCTGAAGTCTGTTGTGCTCGGCCAGACCCCTGAACTAGAGGCAGCCTGGGGGTCCCGGGGACCTTGGGAAAATCACTTCCCTGTGCCAGCCTCACCTGTCTCTTTTGTAAAAAGAAGAAAATCATATCCCCTAGTGCAGTTCAGGTTGTTTTAATAGGACCGTCTCTAGGGGCCTGCGTAGCCATTTCTCCTTCAGAGCAGGGCCAGATGAACGAAAGACTTGTTCCGAGGCTCCTCTCTGACAGATCTGATAAAGCCCGATCGCCTCAGCTGCGTGCCCCCTTGGGTTTTTCCCATCTTGATTGCTCTTGGCCCAGAGGAGCTTTGAAGACTAAAGAAGGCTCCACTCTGAGCTCCCGCCATCCTCACCTGACAAAAGCGCCTTTCGCTGCTCCCGTTCCCCTGAGCTTCCTTTGTGCTCCCAAAGCTGACCCGAAATGCCTGGAGCCCTCACAGGACCAGACAGCTGTGCTTGGCAGAGCCGGGCATCTGATTGGGGAAGAGCAAAGGCCCCCCTTTTTCCCGTGCCAGGATCTTTGAGGGTGGCACGATTTCACTTTGACCTCCCTGCCCTGGAGGTCCGTTCTGGAAGCAGAGGTCGCAGGAGTTGGCCCTGCAGTCTGTAATGTCCTTGTGCCTGTGTCTTACAGAAATTTAAAGAGTATGTGAACGGCAGTAACCTCATCACTAAGCTGCAGGCCAAGCATGACTTACTCAAGCAGACCCTGGGCGAAGGTGAGTCGGGCGGCGGCGGCCTGCGAGGAGGGGCTGCCTCCCCACTGGGTGTTGTTGTGGCCCCTTGAGCTGTTGCAGCTTGAGACACTGGGCACTTGGCGGAACGAGGCCTGGTACCGGAGCCACCTCTCAGGACTGGGCAGGCTGGTACAGTCTATGGTCTACAGCCCTGGTTCAGATCCTGAGAGGGGTCCAGTCTGGATGCAGAAAATATGGGGCAAACACAAGTCTTAGTTGACATTGTGGGACGGGTCCAAGGCAAAGTGATAGAGGGGTCCCCGATAGGTCGGGGGTGGGAATTCAGGGACACAGGTGTCCACATTGATGCTTTTCAGCAGATCTATTTACCAGGAATGCTATCGGAGTGCCTGGCCAGGATTCTAGGTCCAAAGAAGAAAAATCCGTGTGTGTAAAGCAGGGTTTGGTCCTTGAGAACCTGGGGACTAGGCTTAAAACTACCCAAAGGCTTCCAGTGATAGTTGGAATAAAATCCTAACTGCTTTCATGACACACGAGGTCTTATGTCACTGACCTCTGCCTGCTTCCCTGACCTCATACCATTCTCAACCACCCAAGTATGCTCTAGCCACACTGAGCTCCTTTCTGCCCTTCAAAATTCATCAAGCTTATTCCTGCCCCAGGGCCTTTGCATCTGCTGTTCCCTCTGCCTGGAATGCCCTTACCCCAGATCTCTGTATGGATGACTCCTTATTCTTCAGCTGTCAGCACAGATTATCACTTCCTCCATGAGCCTCTCCTTGCTACCTAACCTCAAGGAATCACCACTTCTGTCCCAAAACTCTCTCTGTTTGGTTTTCTTCATCTCACTCATCACCATGTGAAATCATCCTATTTATTATTTATTCACTTGCTTATTGTCTTTGGTCATACTCCCCATCCCCAACAGTATCATATCTTCAACAAGACTGGTGACTTCCTTGTTTTTTTTGTCTACCACTTTATCTCCAGTGCAGAGAACAGTGCCTGGCTCATAGTAGGCACTCAATAGTCACTGAATGAATGTTGAATGGAAAGGTCACCAGGGCATGAACTTAGCCCCAAGGACAGGGATGGTTTGCAGCAAGTCCTGGTGGCCCTGGAACCTGGTGTGAGGCTGAGCTATGAGGGGAGGAGCTGAGCTGGGGTTTCTGAAGCTGCTGGGCCCTGCTGGGAGCGTCATGAGCCCCACATCCAAATACATTCTTGTGTTCTGTTTGGAAAGGGCTGTTGGCTGAAGGATGTGCTCCACCGAAAGGAAAAAAACGTGGGGTCCAGGAAATAGGGGCCAACGCCAGAGAAATGAAGGGAGTTTCCGAGGTGATGAGGCCAGTAGATCCCAAGATGACAGCTGGAAGCAGGCCTAGGACCACCCAGGAGTTTTTTGGGGAACGAGGAGCGTGACAGGATGAGAGTTGTGCGGGGGGCTGGTGCTCACTGGCCGATGGGCATTTGCCATCCACGGCACCTCCTCGCCCCTCCCTGGATAACTGTTGTCTCCCTGTGGGTGCACATTCCAGTGCCTGTGCTCTGGCCACACGAGTCCTGCCTGATCCTGTCCTCTCGGCAACCATCAAGTAGGCTGCCAGGATCCGCAGATGCTTGGCATTTGTGAGCCCCATGCTTTAGAGGAAATGGTGAGAAATTAAACCATTTCCCAGCCCCAAGGCACTTATAATCTAGCTGAGAGACAACTCATGAATTCATAAAAAATTAAATAGCGATAACATTGTCACATAGAAATACTGGATGAATTGCCAGGTGAACGGTACAGACTCTGAGGGCTGTGAATCAGGAGAGGAAGGGATCACCAAGCCCAGGAAAGCTGGAAAGATTTCAAGCAGGAGGAATAACCAGGGCTTTAAAACTAATACCAATGGAATTTTTTCAACCACCTTTATTGACATATAATGTATATACAATAAAATGCACCCATTTTATGTGTAGAAATCAATTTTCTGACAAACTATACACCCAAGTATAACCACCACTCGAATCAAGAGACAGAACATCATCATCACCGCCATAGTTCCCCTGTGCCCCTTTGCAGTCAATCCCCCCATCCTCTGCCCCAAGAAATCACTGATCTGATTTCTGTCACCATGGTTGAGTTTTGTAGGTTCCAGCTGGTGAGAGCTGGGAAACTTCTGGGGGTGATGGAAAGGTTCTATGTCCTGATTTGGGTGGTAGTTATACATGGTGTATACATTTGTCAACACTCACTGATTAGGGGGTAGGGGTGGGGAAGAGTGAGTTGCAGTGAGCTTTTTCTCCATTCCCCTCCCTACCCTCTAAATTCTACCCATCCTGACATTTCGGAACTGGGCCAGGTGAGCGGGGCCATGGAGAAGTGTGGGTAACAGAGGGAACCAAAACAGCGAGAATGGAGAGAAAAGGAAGAGCCAGCAAGTCATAGAGAGGAGCTCGGGTGAGTGTGTGATGGAGGCGGCTTCCACAACTAACGTTCAAGAGGAGGATCAGTTTCTATGGTTAGGGCAGGGGTGCTGGGTCTGTTTCTCAAGAGCCGTGTAACAGAAGACGGGTCCACGTGAGTCAGTGGGTACTTGTATTTTGGAAATCAGATGACTTGGATTTAGAAAACTAGATGTTTTTTTGAAAAATAAGATTCCAGATGAGCAAGTGCTTCTCTCCAGCTCCCCCATGAGCACTATCAGACGCAACCTTTTATTGCTGCCCTTGCCTGAATGGCCTTAATGAAATCGTAATAATAATTAGTTTTGGTTGGCATAACTCCTGATCTATTTGGTCTTCCAAGTTCATTTAGCGTTCAGCTGCACTTTGCTCTGAGACAGGGTTTACCAGTCCTTCTTCTGAGTTTTGAGCTGAATAGCAAGAAAAAACCTCGGGAAAGTGTAGTTTCAGAAGTATAAGGGCAGCTAAGAAAGTCCTCTGGAAGAATCTCCATCGTCCTGTTTTCTAGTAAGCCATCAGTGGAAAAGCCCATGTGCTTCTTTTGATAACTGGGATCGGTCTTGTTAGACTGGTCAATTCTGGGGAGGTTTTTTGTTTGTTTTATTTCATTTTTTAATAAACTTTTTGTTTTAGAATAGTTTTAGATTTACAGAAAAGTTGCAAAGTTGCAAAGATCGTACAGAGTTCTCATATACTCCACATCCAATTTCCCCTATTAGTCACATCTCCCTCTTCATAAGTATGGTATATTTGTCACTATTAATGAATATTGATACATTATTATTCATTAAAGTTAAAATTTACTGAATTACTGAAAAACACTGAAGCTGAGACCGAATCTTCAGTCATTTTTGTATCTCCACTGTATGATCAAGTATATGTGGATTCTTTGGGCATTGGGAGAATTTGCACTCCTGGTTGATAAAGTTCTTGCCCTCTTGGGCAAAGGTAGGGGGAGGGATGAAAAAATCAAGCAAGCCAAAGAGAAATCTTGGCTAATTCATTCTTCTGAGTGTCAACAGATGATTCTCCCTACCTGCGCATGTTGACTCTTCCAGTCAGTAGAAAGCTCTTCTAAGCGTGGGGCTGGGGTAGTCACACCTGCATCAATGGCCTGTTGTGTTGTCTGAGGGCTCTTTTGTACTGAGAGGGACAATCTGGAAATCTTGAAAACAGGTTAGAAATATGGGGCCAAGCAGAATATTTTGGCCGAAAAGATACAAGGCTTTTTTTTTTTTTTTTTAATGAAATGAAGTGTTATGTCCAGTGCCTCAGCTTCTCTCAAGTACTCTTTTGACAGCATGGTTCAAAGAAACCACAAGTTAGAGGAAACATGAGGTCTTTTGAGTCACTTTTACTTAGAAGCAAATTTTGGAACGTGATTGACTCCAGACACACAAGTCAAAAAGCTTCTAGGTGCCCTGCAAATTTGCATTCCTTGTTACAAATGTCACTGCCACATCTTAGGGACAAGAGCACACAGCCTCATATGCCCTTGGCTATTGCTGTGTCGTTTAATTGGCAGAGGATTCTCAGTTATCGTCATCTCTGAGTCTTAGATCTGTGACCTTTTTATTGCTCTGGGTAGTCTGTAAGCTCCAGGGTTTACACCAAAGATACGGGTGGCTTTTCAATTTACTCTGGCTCCTCAAGGATAAATAGTACATGGTCTATAAAAGGATGGGACATAACCTTTTCAGGCCAAGATTTAATAGCCCATTACAGAGCAAAATGTCCACCAGGACCAGACAGTCTGACCTTCTAGAAAATGAGCCACCAACTATAAAATATTTTTTTAAAGTCCCAACAGATCTCGGAAGGTAAAGGGCAGAGCGTTTTTGATTTCTGCCATTTGTTAGAAGTTGAGACAATTTATTCCAAAAGATGTTGGTAATGGGGTTCTTGAGAGCTAGAATGTGAGCCTAAAGCCAAAGGAGAATATATGAGATTCCTTGCCAGAGGAAAGTCTGCCTTGATATGTTCTGACATTCCACTCCAGGACCTAAACCCTTTCATTCATACCTCCCCCTTCTTCCCTCCCTGCCCCTGTCCATCTGTTCATCTGTCCATCTGTCCATCCAGAAGCACAGGCACTGTGCTTGGCGAGGACTGAGGGTACAGTGTATAAAAGACAGAAAAGGTTCCTGCCTTCATGGGGAAGAGAGACCTCACACAGTAAACAAACTATTAAGTAAAGAATTATAACTGTGATAAGTGGCGCGAATGGGAAATTTGGGCTGAGATAGAGAACAACTGTGCATGTGGGGAGTGGGGGAGACGTCTCCTGCTTTAGGTTGGGTGATCAGAGAGGCCTCAGAGGAGAAACGATGTTTGAGCTGAGACAAGGATGAGAAGGCCCCAGTCACGTGAAAAACTGGGGAAAGAGAGTCGAGGCAGAGGGAACAGCATGTGCAAAGGTGTGAAGGAATGTGGGAGTTAGCACTAAAGGAAGGGCGGTGTGACTGGGCCACGGTGAGTACTTGGAGGAGTGGGCAATTTTGGAACCAGGAGGAGGTGGAGCAGGTCCCCTCTGTAAGTCAGAGTTGCACAGTTGACTGCAGCCCTAGGGGAAACCCTGTGCTTTATAGTCAATGCAGGCCATTGGCTGACCCCTTTCAGGGGCTGCCACTGGCTCTGACTGAGGGTCTTGGGTCTACATGAACACTGAACTCAAACTGGTGTCTGGTAGGATTTTACCCCAGAGCCCAGACACGCAATCACATTAAGCAGAGCAAATTTGTCTGTTTCACCTAACTTTTCTCTTTTCTTGCTTTGGTCTTTGGCTCCAGTTCAACAAACTGCAGTCACTCTTGTAACTGCTGGTGGCTTTGGTTAGGAATTAAGGAATTGTGTGTTCTATTTTCAGACCTCTATTACTCTCTTCCTCCCCCCATTTCTCTCCCCAGCCCCATCCAGCATTGTTTTCTGTCGAGAAAATAAATGCTCGGTTCTTTCTTTTTAAAGAGTCCTTTCACATGAATGCTGGGTGGGATTCTAGAGTCCAGATTTGTGCTGTCCTGTGTGGTGGCCACAAGCCACACGTGGCTATTGAACACTTGAAACATGGCTAGTCTGAACTGAGATGTGTAAAATGAACACCAGATTTCAAAGAGTTAGTACAATATATATATAAATATATATAATAAATATATGTATACATATAAAAACATTTTATTAATTGTTTATATTGATACACATTGAAATGATATATTTTTGATATATTAGGTTAAATACAATATATTATTAAAATTAACCTCACCTGTTTCTCTTTACTTTTTGTAATGTCGCTACTAGATATTGTGGCTTGCATTATATTTCCATTGGATAGCACTGGCCTAGAGGCCCTCCACTGCACCGTAAAAGAAATGAAGCACTGGGCCGGCCCCGTGGCTTAGCAGTTAAGTGCACGCACTCCGCTGCTGGCAGCCCGGGTTCGGATCCCGTGAGCGCACCGCTTCTCCGGCCATGCTGGGGCCGCGTCCCACATACAGCAACTGGAAGGATGTGCAGCTATGACATACAACTATCTACTGGGGCTTTGGGGGGAAAAAATAAATAAATAAAATCTTTAAAAAAAAAAAAAAAAGAAATGAAGCACTGAATCATGCTCTGGGGATGAACCTCAAAAACATTACGCTAAGTGAAAGAAGCCAAGTGCAAAATACTACATATTTCATGATTCTGTTTTTATGAAATGTCCAGAATAAGCAAATCTATAGAGACAAAGTAGATTAGTGGTTGCCATAGGCTGGAGATGAGAAGAGGGAGTGACTGTAAATTGGCACAAAGGATCTTTTTCATGTGATGGAAATGTTATAAAATTGAATTGTATTGATGATTGCAGAACTTGGACTATTTACTGAAAATCAAGTTCAAATGGGTGGATTTTATGATATGTAAATTATACCTCAATAAAGCTGTTAAAAAGAGGGCAGTGACTTGAGTCTGGAATTCCAGGGGAATATAAGATCTGGACATAAGATTAGGGAGGCCTCCGTAAGCATCTGAGATCACCTAGAGAGAGTGTGTAGAAAGAGAAGAGAAGAAGATCCGGGTAGGCATCCTAGGGGCATCCCAACATTTAGAGGTTAGAGGATGGACAGATGAGGATCAGACAGCAAGAGAAACTGAGGAACAGCCTGTAGGGCAGGAAGGAAAACTAGAAAATGTGGAGTTATGCAAATCAAGAGGAGAAAGTTTTATAAGAAGAAGGGAGCAATTACCCGAGTTGATGGTGCTAAGAAGTCAGATAAGAGCAGAGACATTGGATTCAGCCACATAGAACAGTCTCCTCGGACTGATGAGATCAGGAAGCAACTGCAATGGAGTGAGGGGAGGATCGGAGGGGGAAGCAACAGTGCCTCTAGACAGCTTCATCAGGAAGTTTGCTGTCAAGGAGAGCTGAGAAATGAGGTTGTAGTTGGGAAGAGAAATGGGGTCATGGGGAGATTTGAAAGCTAGGTTATTTGTATCCAGAATGCGTTGATATGCTGATGGAAATTACCCAGAGGGAGGAGATTGGTGATGCTAGAGAGAGGGGAGGCACTTGCAGAAACAGAACCCCTGAGAAGGGCGGAAGGGATGGGACCCAGAGCACAGGGAGAAAGTCTGGGCTTTGGCAGAAGCAGGTGCTTCTTCCGGAGCACCAGAAGAGGAGGTAGAGGGGGAGTGGGCAGGCGCAGGTAGGTGAGTGGGTCTCATGGAGGCGCTCTAGACCTGTCTGACTGATTTTCCTTTCCAGGAAAGGAAGCGAGAAGGTCTTCAGCTGACAATGCAGTGGGGGCTGGGCAGGGGTAGCAGGGTTGAGGAACACCAAGAAGGTGTGTTACGGCTGGCACCCTTCAGGGCCGGGCATGTGACAGGTGCTCAGTAAACCTTTGTTGATATAAAGCAGTGCATGAGTTCTTCAGCTTTGCTATGCATAGAAGGGATCACCTGGAGTGCTTCTTAAAATGCAGATTCCTGGGTTCTTATCTCAGAGATTCTGATTCAGGAGGACCATAGGAAAGCCAAGAAATCTGCATTTTTAACAAAGAGCCCCAGATGATTCTGATGCAAGTGGTCTTCAAGCTGTAGTTTGAGAATCATTGGAAAAAATGTATGTGAACAATAGAAAATGAAATGTATGTGAACATAGCCCTACGAATAGGGGGCCCTGGGGATTTAATAAGATGCAGTTCTTGGGGCTGGCCTGGTGGCATAGTGGTTAAGTTTGGTGCTCTCTGCTTTGGCAGCCTGGGTTCCGGGGTTCGGATCTGGGGCATGGACCTACACCACTCATCAAGCCATGCTGTGGCAGTGACCCATATACAAAAAATAGAGGAAGATTGGCACAGGTGTTAGCTCAGGGCCACTCTTCCTCAAGCAAAAAGAGGAAGATTGGCAACAGGTGTTAGCTCTGGGCCAATCTTCCTCACCAAAAAAAAAAAAGATGCAGTTCTTTCCAACAGACGATACCTTAAGCGTAATTAGATTTCCCATTTCACAAATAATTAAGACCAGTTGTTTTTCTGTTTTTAGAAAACAATGAATGTACTTTGGTTGAAAAAAAAAAACTAAAACTAAACATCATTGTATACTTTTCTTTCCAGGGGAGAGAGCAGAATGTGGCACAACCAGGTAAGAGCTGAGGATCTTGTTTTCTTTCACATGCTGCCTGAGGTGGGGAGTGGGATGAGGTGGGAGGAGCAGGAGAGGCAGGAAGGTGGGAAGACAGAGACTGCTGAGAGCTCGGAGAAGCTGGGGTATTCCTAGAGTGGGACAGCTCTTCACCAGTGTCCTCATGGGATGGCGCAGCTGTGCTGAGAGGGGAGGCAAATGTGCCATTCTGCTTCTCTGCTTGTTCTAGCCTTAGACTGGTGAAGCCATGCCCCCTCTAGGCGGTGATGGGGAGGGGACTTTCGGAGCTGCTGTGGGTCAGTGCCGTATCCGCCTCCTGTCTCCGTCCCCCATCGCGCTATCCATGGGGTGGACAGACATACATGGCAGAGTGGCTGAGGGCAACCAGTGGAGGCCAGAGGCTGTGGGGTAGCTGTTGACCTGACTCCCATCTGTTACATGGCTGCTGAGCAAACTGCGCAGCCCAGGCGGGGGGCCCAGCCTAGGGTCCCCATTTGCCAAGGCTTTGGATTTGGCTCGTATGGCGCACACTTGGGCATACGCATGTGCATATCCACATACGCGCCCACTGCCCGCACCCTGGCTTTGGACGTCATAGGCACTTGGATGGACTGGTGATGGAGTCTCTTGCTGGGAAAGTAACACACGGGCAACTTCTGCTTTCTCTCCAGCTTGCTCAGCATTACCCTTTGTGCTTTTCCCTGAGCAGACCAGAGCCAGTGAACACTTTCCACTCAGCAGCTGATAGCTGATGGGCTTTCTTTTAGCGACTGGACCTTTCCTCTACTTTCAGCGAGTTTAGATCCACAAGCAGCCCTGTCGCTGCCCGGGTGGTTCCTAGAGCCCACCCATGTCCCAGTTCCCAGCAATAGCTATCCCCCTGCCCAATATGAATTCAGCCATTGGCCTGGGAGGCCTGCACTCTTCTGTCATGTGGCAGTTGAGAGCTGCCTTTTGGCCCAATGACCCAATGACATCCTTTCCCCACAAATTCTTCCCAGTGGCCCAAATCCTGGAAAGCTGTCGTACTTGGCAAGAGAGAGAAAGAACCCTCGATTCTCTCCTGCTCATCTGGAAGGGAGTTGCTGGGAAGAGGCTTGGAAAGCTCTGGGGTTTTCAGTTTGCTGGGCCCAGGATGGGGGAGACTGAGGGCTCTCCAGAAGCTTAGCCTGTGCAGCTGTTCCTCTGGGCCCCGGCAGTCTGAGAACACCAGGATGATTCAGGATGCCAGGCGAGGACATTCCAGCACATGGGGCAGCAGATGTGCAGGGTCACTTTCTAAGAACCTTTTAGAAACAAACTCATTTATTTATTTATTTATTTACTTATTTTTTCTGGCAAGAGGATATTGTGATAGTCCCAAAACAGCAGAAGCCACATTTTACACCAAAGTCTACAAATAGTGAAACAGATGGGGGACAAATTGAGCCGTCCCTCACTTCCTCCTAATTCCTGGAACTTATGTGGGGGAAGATGGTAAGCAGATTGCAGGAGAGATCCACATACAAACCCTTGGCCAGGTCCCAGGTCTTCCTCAGAGAAAAGTTGAAGGTTTTTTTTTTTTTTTTTTTGGATAAAGCCCTCTGAGATGTTGTCTTCCACACCCTCTTTGACCTAGCGCCTGGGAAATCCGAGCTAGGATTACAGACCTCCCACTTAGATATAGTGCACTAAAATGCAAACCCAGCCATCTGCACTCTGGCCCTTGGCCAAGGTCAAAGGCAGCTTTGTTAGTAAACTAAAAGCTTCCCCTTACTTCCAAAGATCATTTTTAACTTGTTGTGCAATGCATTGCCAACTTGGAAGTGGTTTTAAAATAAATCTTAAAGGCCCTGGGTAAGATGTATACTATGGCTTTCTGAATCTTCCATAGTTTCCTGCCCAAGGTTGGTGTCATTTTGGATGATCACTTGAGCAGGTCCCTCGGCCAAGTTGCCTCTGACCTTGTATAGACAGACCAATTTTTGCACATGGGTTGCAACACGTTATATTTTTTCTCACGCTTAAGAACCTTATCTTATAATAGCCCAAATTCGTAATAACCTTGTAATTAGGCCAACCAGATGCAATAATGCACTTGAAAAGTGTATGGTAAATGGCAAAGCCAGATGCAAACATAAGGTTTGGTTATGGTTACTCAAACTAAAGACTGGCTTCCCTAACCCAGGTTGACTTGCCTCTGTGGGCTGGACTAGCAGTGAAATCACTTGAGATTTCCTGTCCAAACAGATGCAACCTGATGCACACCTGTGCACAGCCTCCGAGAGCCTGACTGCCATTGAACTACAGTACTGCTGCCATTTTGGATGTTGACACCCACATCTATTGGGTTGTCTAGGGAAAATTTTAATCACCGTACTTTTGGTCACAGAATAATTTTGAGGCCAATTCCTATGTTGCCATGTATGTTAATTTTCATCTTGGTCAAAAGGCAGAAAGGGGACATTGGTCTCTGGTTTCTGTTTCTTCCTCTCCGTGGCTTTCTCTGTTCCTATTTTCCCTGCCTCTCTCTCTTTCTTTCTTTCCTTTTTGCTCTGCAACTGAGCAGCAGAAGAGATGGAAGGCTTAGGCTGCCCCACTTTCCTTGGCTGAGCTGCCCCCCTGCTCCCCACTTTGTGCCCCACCCAGCACTTCAGTAAGTCGGTATCGATTTGATGTCGTGCAAAGTTGGGATAGCTACGTTTCCTTGTCAGAGATTCTGGTCAGTGCACAGAGCACCACACAAAGAAAGAAATCCCGGTGTGATTTGAACAGTCCTTTGCCTTCTGGATTGGGCAGGAGACGTGGGAAAAAGTATCCTATTTTCCCTTTATTCCATTTTGTGAACTTAAAAAAAATCCTTAGGACTTATTAGGGAAACCTTCCAGCTGGGCACCCTAGATTTTTTTTGATATTGGGTGTCCAACACCTTCATTAAGAGTCTCTACTCTTGCTGGCCATGGGAATTTAATGGATAATTTAATGCTACTGCTGGATGTTCTGTGATAAAATCAACTTCCCAATTTCATACACCAGAATCTTGAGTAATCTTCCTACTGAATAGCTGAATTCTATTTCCAGTGTCAATCACATATTATCTATGTGACCTTGGGCAAGTTTCTTAATCTCTCAGGGGCTTGTTTGCTGTATGTTTAAAGTGGGTTTAATAATTCTTGCCTACCTCACAGGGTTATTGTGAGGGTATCACGCAGTGTGAGGTAAGGAAATGATCTGAGAATGTTGAAAAACAGAAACCCAAGGGGCCGGCCCGGTGGCGCAAGCGGTTAAGTGCGCACGCTCCGCTGCGGCGGCCTGGGGTTCGCTGGTTCTGATCCCGGGCGCACACCGACGCACTGCTTGGCAAGCCATGCTGTGGCGGCGTCCCATATAAAGTGGAGGAAGATGGGCACAGATGTTAGCCCAGGGCCGTCTTCCTCAGCAAAAAAAGAGGAGGATTGGCGGATGTTAGCACAGGGCTGATCTCCTCACAAAAAAAAAAGAAACCCAAAACCCCATGAAAACAAGGCCACAAAGTTGCTGTCTTCAGGTTATTCCAAATGCCAAGACTTAAAACCCATGGCCTTTTGTCACATTTTTGACCCTCTCTTTTCACATTTGAAAATTCAAAAGCAGATCCGTTGTTAAAAATGTCACCCCTGTATATGCACATGCTCAAAAAATTAGTAACTTAAGAAAAAGAAATGACATGGACTTAGCTAACCAAATTGACATAGATCCAAGATGGGCTCAAAATAATCTTGCCTGTTGTTTCATTTAAAAATTTTGGTCTGTGCTGTTATTTTGGTTCCAGTGTTTGAGTGGCATGATATTTGGATTCAACCGTGTCTTTGCCCATGCATGTCCTGGAGCTAGCTGCATTTGCTCAATACTCAAACGCCTAGGAGAAGTCGGTTGTAGTTTCCTAGATGGCTGGGCTATTGAAGGAGATAGGCTCAACAAGGCCAGTGAGCAGAGACAGCATGAATCTCATTCACCTTGATTGGCTCCCAAGTCCGTACGATTTCTTGCCCATTCACAGAAATCAGTCAAGACCTGGGGGACCAGGTCCTTGCTCGTTACATGTGAACAATATCTGTGCCAGGCTGGGTCCCCACTTGTTGCTCCCCAAATTGTGAACCAAGCCATTTGAGAATGAACTGCCTCTCTTGGTTAGGGGCCCTCCGCCTAACCTCAGAAAGCCCCTTGCCCTGGAAGGCTGGCAGCATTGAGTCAGGCCAACTTGGGTGGCGAAAGATGAGCAAATAAGCCAACACAGGTATATGCATGATGAGCAGCTCTGGAAACTGGTCCAGTGTTTGTGGCTGTTTCACTGTTCCTGGTGAACTGTGGTGTGGTTTCCCGTCCCTGTGGCCAAGAGTGGAGCACAGGGAATGGAGATCCTAAAGTAAAGCAAGACACTTTCAACCTGACCCTCTGGGTCCTCCGCTGGCAAGGGTTAATGGGATGGATGAGTCCTTGGATGGAAATGAAAATGTGCCCTAAGGCTCCATGACAGGCCCTGATGGGAAAAATCTTGGACTTGGAACCAAAGAGGCCTGGGTTTGGGGCCTGACTCTGCCAGTTCCCCTTTCTAGGCCTTAGTTTCTGCTTCTGTAAAATGGGGCCATACATACAGGGTTGAGCTGATGTTAAGTGTGGTCATGGATTTGAAAGCACTTTAACTGAAAGTGTACTTAACTAAAGAACAGGATGTAGTCATCATCCTGGGTCACCCGGGGACCCCAAAGAAGCTGCAGACTCCCTCTTGGCATCAGTTTCTTTATCTCTAAAGCGAGAATAATAATTGCATGGCTCTTAGGTCAATGAAATAAAGATTAGTCAAGTGCATTTGAAATGCCAAGAGGCATTAGGATGATCAGTGCCCTGGTACGTTGGGAGTTGAGACTTGGTGAAGAATTTAAGCCAAAATAATGAAAATTAACCCTTCCAATCATCTTTGAAAGTCTCTTGCTTTCTCAGGCTACAGAATACATCTCTCTCCCCTGATTCCCCCTCCATCTGGTCAGCTTTGCAGGATGACAGCCTCTGATTGGAGTTTCAGTGGTTTCCTGGACACATGCTATTTCCCTCCTGTGATTTAGAATGCACTTGTATTATACGAGCATTGCTCCTGCTTGACATTGTGGGTCGATTAAGATCCGCTTAAGCATCCAAAGGCCTTCAGATGGAGCATTGGACTCCGATGTGCTGGGGGCTCAGGGGCTTTCATTTGCATTTGTATTCTCCTCCAGTCGTGGATTTTAAGAGCGTCTTTCCCAGTTGTATGTTTACCTTGGTTGCTTTCTTGATTTCTTTTGTTCCGTTTTCCCCTAGGCCCCCCTGTCTTCCCCCTAAACCACAGAAAATGAGGAGACCTAGGCCTCTCTCAGTGTGTAGCCATAAACTATTTAACGGCTGTATGGAAACGTTCATTAAGGTACTTGCTGGGGAGCCACGGAGTCCGCGAATGCACCCAATGTAATGGCAGCCTTTCTACACCTCCTTCCCTGGCCAGCAGCCCTGCCCTGACCAACCAGAACTTTCAGTCTGTGCCCTCAACCAGGCCCTGTGGCGAGCTGGCTCCTCACTGCAGCCTGCTCGTGGCTTCAGTAAGGGCTTCTAATCAGAGCAGCTTTTGTCTCTGACCAGTTGCTCCTAAGTACGTTCCCATGATTCTCAGTCCTAGGGGAGGGATATGATTGTGAAGAAACCCAGTGAAGTCCAAGTGGGGTTGAAATGCCAGAGCAGTGGTCCCCGCCAGCCACACTTTATTGCTTCAGGAACTGGGGTCCTAACTAGCCTGAGGGACAGTTAGAGAAAGCCCCTTACCTCACTTCACACCCACATCTCCCAAGAGGAAGCAACACAAAGAAAATTCCTGTGGGCAACAGTGTGTTTTTATACAAGTGATTTGTGTTGTTGTTGTTGGGAATATACCAGCAAAAGAAACACATACATTTTGTATGAGAGAAGACCCTCCCACCTAGTTTTGCTTCTTGTTGAGCAGTTTGGGAGAAGGGAGAAGAGCTGAGGTAGTCCCTTTAGAATTCCAGGTTAACCTTTTCCATCTTAAACTAAAACTTCAAGCATTTCAGCTAGGTGAGTTTCTCTTTTCTTGCTTCTTGGATGCAAAAGGTACAGGATCAATCCATCCCAGATAGAATGGCCCAAGGCAAATTAAGATGATGATGGAGTTGAAAAGGGCAGCCGGTAGGGAGAGACTGGAAGAAGGGGAGATGCACTCTTAACATTATTTAGGGGGAACAGGAGAGAAGATCCCTGCCAGTTATTTGAGAGCCCACCACTGTCCACTGAAGACACTTTCTGCAGGAAGGAAGACTAGTGTCCATCAGGAGGACTAGTGTCCATCAGGAGGAAAGTCAAGGCTCTTGGGCTTTGCTGACAATTTTGGAGTAGCAGAGGCTGCCCCTGATCCAGCTCTCTCTCCTCCATTCTCAGACAGGGTACACACAGGACTTACAGGAGAAGGAGGGACAGCCTCAGGCCTGGGAGGAGTAGGCAGGACAATCCTGGGTCCCAGGACTGTCTCTGCCTGTGGGCTGGGTTCTGGGGAGGGGACAGTGGAGGAAAGGCACAGTGGGACAGTACAGCACAAGTTGGGATTGCCCAGGGCAGGGAACAGCAAGGGCTGCTTTAGGGTATCTCAGAGGAGTGAGGTATGGAGGATCTGGGTGCATCAGGAAAGAAGTACTGCTTGGAGGTGACCCCGAGGGAGCAGTTTGCCCTCCAGTAGGTCATGGGGGCATGGGGCTATGTCAGAGTCCTTCGTCATCCTCCCTCCTCTCTCCTCCAAGCCTTTCTTCTCAGTCACCATTGCCCTCAAAAGCGCCACTCTCCGTAGCTGAGAGGGGACTGAGAGGCTTATTCGCTGTGCTCTCTGCCCTCAAGGAGCTTACAGTGTCACTGGAAGGTTTTCAACACAGAAAGCTAGAAGTGTGAGGCAATTCAGACGAGCACTCAGTGAATTATCCCACAGAAACAAGTTCTGTGAGAGCTCAGAGCCAGAAGAGCTATGAGCACGAGGGCACAGGGGCTTCTGGCGAGGCTGTGAAGGAAGGGTAGGAGTAAAGTGGCGAGGAGTAGGACAGAGGAGCTCCTGAAAGGAGGAACAGAGGGAATGAAGGCTCAGAGACAGGGGCGGCTTCCCTCATTTTCTCAGCTCTTTGGAAACGGGTCATCAGTCAGGACACTCGGAAGGAGCTGACTTTTAACTGACAGGTTGAAAATGAGGTGTTCTGTTGAAGGAAATAGTCTCTTAATAGAGAGCTCCTACGTGAAATGTGTGACTCTCCCGTAGTCTGCGTCTCTTCCTCCTGACAAACACATCAGAACTTCTTCAACCATGTGAGTGTTTGCCCCTTGGAGGAAGTCACCTTGGGAGGCCACATTCTTCTTCTAAATGTACCATCATTGCTGCAGTTGTTCAGTCTTCTCTAGAGCCTGCAGCCTGGCCTTTGTCAGTGGGGCCAAAACTTTGTATTAGAATCAGAACTCAGCCTTGCAACATCACTGGAGGCACCAAATGGCAAGGGGCACATGCTAGAGTGAGGCTGGTCAAGCAGCTCTGAGAAGAGCCCCCAAAGAGGGACACCCCAGAGCACTGAGCAGTGGCACGTTGTTGGAGTAGGGGCACAGCCTCCTCAGGGGACTATTTGACTTTTTCTTAAAAAAAAAGGTATATTTGTTAAATGATTGCCTTTCTTTGTAGTCACACTGTACTTACACCACATTCTATCAGGGAGGTTCAACCAACTGTTCTGTGCCCCTCTGTGAGCCAGGTAGGGCACAGACAAACTTGCACCAGCGTGGTCTTACTCTCCAGGATTATTAACTGTCAGAGAAGGAAAAGCCATTATCATATAGTCAATCCTTCAACCTTTGTGAGCAGAATTTAATTTTCTCTTAGGATTCCCACGCCATCTGGAAGAAGATTCTGCGTGAACTCAGACTCCCTGGCTTTGAAATGCCAAACCTGAGAAAGGTTTTTCAATAAAATGACATCACTGGGACTCCGTGATTATGATGATTTAGAGGAATGAGGAAGCATCCCTGAGTTAAGAATGGTGGATAAATGTGGTTGGAGTTACTTCTATAAATTTCTAGGACCCTACCTGAATTGACCCTTTTCAAAATCCTTGATTTTTTTTTCTCCTCTCAAACAGAGGGAAACTCGATTTTTATTATAAATTTTGAAGCCCAGGAGGTCTACCTCTCGGGGGAAGGGAGAGTCCTCACCTTGTTTCTATAAAATGAGAGTGATGATCGCCTACTGCATGAGTGTGTGATGAGGTTCAAATGAGGTAATACGCGCCGTGTTTCTAGAGCGCTACCTGGCGCACAGTAAGCACCCTGTGAGTGTTAGCTATTGTTGTCGCCATTAGCTTTTAGGAGATTGCTCATCAAGCCCCATCTGACCAGGCTGTTTGCTCAGTTCTAGGATTTAGGTAGGTTTAGCCAACATATGATAATTCCAGTTGTTGAGATGCTGGGGACTGGACAAATGACAGCACCTACCACATCCTTGAGTTTCTCAGTTCGGCCTCTTCAAGGAGCCTGGATGAGACATAGCACCCACCCCAGAGCCTGACCCACTGCACATATGGGAAGAAGAACAGTCAGTGCTCCCCTGAAAACGGGTGGCTTCAGTGGCTTTAGTGACAGCAAAGGCTCCAGTTCTTGGGAGCAGGATCACAAAGGCATTCTGACTCTCTCCTACCTCACTCTCCCAGGCCTGTCTCAGCCTTTGGGGTTCCCTGAGGTGTTCTCAGGGCCATTGTGATGTCAAGGGGTAGGAAGGAGAGCAAAGCCAAGTGGACACCCAGGAAAAACTACCCAGCCTGTTTGGTAGGAAAACATGGGAAGCTGTTTGGAATTTAGAACCAGGTGGAACACTTTGGGTCCTATCCAGAGGGCACCCGATCCACAAGCTCTTGGTAAAATTAGCTTTTTACTAAGAATGAGGTTTCCTGAGCTGAATTCCAGGGACAGTGTTACGGTAGACACATGAAGATACATGGCCCTCCTTTTTGTGGGTAGCTGGGCTAACCTTAAGGGGTCTTAGGTGGGCTCTTGCCCGTTGATGAATCAACAGCCCTGTGTTGAGAAGAGGGTAGGCTTGGAACCCTTTCCTCAAAGGGTTCAGTAGGCACCATTCCTGCACTCTGACAAGGACTGATAGGGGACCCTTTGCCACCTGGAAGGTTGCCTAGGGGAGAGCTCGAACTCGTATGAGGCCCTGTGGCACAGGGGTGGCCCTCCCTACCGCGGGCTGGCTGGCAGTCTCCCCAGGACCTTTGCTGGCTGCCATTGCATTTCGGCATTCACGGACTCGGAAGGATCTGCTTACTCTAACTGATCTTACTCCTGCGTAATCTTTTCTTTTTCTCCTGCTCTGCTGCCTGTTTATTTTTTGTTATCAGAGGAAGAAGAAATGCTCGAACCAGGAACCAGGTATTTACTAGAAAGGTCCGTTAGCCCCATTCAACTGGATGGAACCTGTCTGTAGTACTCACTTCTAAAACAGGGCCCACCTTGCCTGTTACCAATGGGTCATTTTACTGTCCTCTCCCTGACCATAATTAATCAAGGAAAGAATTCACAAGTGGGGTGTGGAGGAGTCACAAAAGCTTCCAACCTCATGGTTTTTTCTGTGTCCCTTTCCAAAAGCATATTACATATGTCTTATTTTTTCCTTACCTTCTGAGAAGACTAGTAATTTAGTTTGGCCCCTTTTAAAAAAGTTTTAAAAAGACTTCGTGCTCTTTAAGTGGCCTGAAATAACAGAGAGATCAACCAATCATGGACTGCAGACGAAAAGCACCCCTTGCTCAGCTCTGTGGCATGGGCTAGTCTAGAAAGATAGAATTGAAAATGCTTTCACACCCCAGATGCGTATGTTTAGAACTGCATCTTATTCAGCCTTTGTGACTAAGGTTGGCCACTCATGGTCAATGGCTGACGTTAGCTGTTGTAGAACTTTTCCTTGTAATGTGTTTACTGGTAAACAAATATCTGTCTGGATGTTTGGGTTGTAACATCACGAGTAGAACTGGTCTTCCCTTCTCAGAGCCCAGAAGGACCCTTGGGGCCAGCCTTGCTTCTCCCCTTGTGGGTTCTTAATTCTAGCATCAGGTGCTGCAGTTCTAGGAGGATGCCTTGATCCGGTCTTTTAATCCTTGAGTGCTGGGAGAATAGGGTCGAGTTGGGGCGAAGTGGAGCGGGAGGCAAAGGACTCTTCAGGAGCAGACTCCTGCCCCCTCCAGGCGGTGGGTCCCTCCCCTTCCCAGATGTGCCCACCAAGCCTCCTGAGCCCTGATTCCTTCCCAGCTGAGTAAGAAGACGGAGCATTTCTTTACAATTATCCTGGCTGTGCCTTTTTATGCACATAACTAAAGACGCTCTATTTTAACTGTCGGTGGAGCCTTTAGGATTAGCAGTTCCATGCTCATTTTCCTACTAATCTGATGGTACTAATATTCTGGCTTGAGTTTATAATCTGTGTTGGAATGTCTTTGTCCCTGTAGTGGTCACCAAGCCCAATACAACTCACAATTTTTTTCTTAAGGATTCAGGACAAGCCATCCCGCTTGTAGTTGAGAGCTGCATCCGATACATCAATTTATACGGTAAGCTCGCTCTTGGGGCCGTGTTTTCAGCTCTCTCCAGCACAGGTGCTAGGCTGTTCTCATAGGAAGTGAGACTCTAATTCATCTCGGAAGACTTCCTGCCGTTTCTCTGCTTCCAAGAGGGAAACACTCTGTGGAATAGCTGCTATCCTGAGTGCTGTCTTTTGAGCCTTGTGTGTCGGGGGGCGGAGGGTGGTGAGAAGACCCAGGAGACAGGAGAACCGGGGAGCAGGGAGGGCACAGACAGGAGAACTGTTTTAGTTCTGCCTCACTCCCACCCAACGGCAGAGCTCTGGGCTTTGAGCGCTGAATGCCGTTGGCCAATCAGTCAGTTGATACTGCTGGATTGTAGTAAGCTCCATGCAGGAAATGTAGTGTCTGGGATTTGCTACCATGGTATCCCCAGCACTTAACTCGTGCTTCTATCTATTCATTTATTCTTCCCTCCAAAAATGTATTTTCAGAGTGCATAGCAGGCGCTGTGTGGGACAATGGGAATACAGGCATGAACAAGGCGGGTAAGGTGCCAGCCCTAGGTAGCTGACTTGACCAGTTAGAAGGGCAAGGGAGTAAACAAGCAGAGAAATAAATAATATAATTTCGGGCAGTGATAATGCCAAGAAATGAATTAAAAGGGGATAGAGAATAGCTGGAGGGGGCGGAGCTGCTGTGGCTAAGGTTGTAAGGAGACTTCTCCCGGGGGTGGTATTGGAGTAGAAGCAGCCAGCCACGCAGTCCAGGTGGAGAGAATGGCCCGTGTAGAGGCCTGATATGGGAAGGAAGGCCAGTGTGACTGGACAGGAATGAGCCAGGAGGATGGCATTGGACACACAGGTGGTAGATATTCGTATTGGTTAACGAAGGAAAGGAACAAGGTTTATTGAGCACATACTATGTACAACCGAGACTTTGACTAAAGCCTGCCTTTTAAGGGTAAACACTTTCCTCAATTATAATGTGGAGAGTTGTTTTATATAGAAAAACTGAATCTCAGGGACAGGATCATAGTCTCCCCCATTGATTCCCATTCCAGATCAGGGAGGCCCTTCAATTCCTTCCATCCTATAGGTCATTGTTATGTCATTACTCTCATGTCAGGTATCAGGGTTTCCTCTTTGCTATGGCTTGTAGAAACACATAAAAGTGTGAGATTGTTTTTCTTTAATAATTTAATCTCCCCCAAACTCCTTGATCCCAGGCCAGCATGCACTCTAGACTCTAGCTTTTCTTGAAGGAAGAAGATGTCTGTGTTGGTGGGGCAGTGTGAGGGGGGAGGGGATGGTTGAGGGAGTGGTATTAATCTTGCTTGTTCAAAATCACTGTGAAACTCAAATGGCATTTGTAAACTCATGCCAAGCTATTGGTACCACTGCAACTGATGAACTGGGTAGGCAAAGTGCACCAACCAGTCATTAGATTGAGCTGATCTGTTGGTTAAATTGGAAGTTCTTCACTGGTCCAGCATTGATATAAAGACTTCCTGTGGCCTTTTCCTTCAAGTCCAGACAAGAGATCACAGGCATATGAAGCAGGATGTGTCTGAGTATTTTGGCCAGCTGAAGTTCATTGCAAAGGTTACTTTGGGGCTTCTGCCTGGAGACCTTCATTGGGAATGACTCTTATAAAGGATAGTGAGAGAAAAAGACAAGTAATGGGGAGAGTCATCGATGTTCCCAGTGGTCTGATGAGCTCAAGGCCTCCTGGCATTTTCTGTTTCTTTTTTTGTTTGTTTGTTTCTTTTAGGACTCCAGCAGCAAGGGATCTTCCGAGTGCCAGGATCTCAGGTCGAAGTCAATGACATCAAAAATTCCTTTGAGAGAGGTAGGTGCAGAGTGACCATCTCAAGCTTGTAGCCAGAGGAAGCCAGGGTGGGTGTTAACTCGTATCTTAGAGCCAGTGGTGTGCTGGGGTTGGCTTGTATCAAAATCTCTTTCCCACTTGCATCAGCAACTTCACTTTGGTAGCTTGAAAGCAGTCAAGACGGGAAAATTTATACCACAGCAATTAGCAAACACTAAGATCTTTTCTTTTTCTTTTTCTCCTCCAAAGAGCTAAAATGTTAAACATTTACCAGTATACATGGGTGACTTTCTCTGGTGGGCTGTACAGTGTTTCCTGGGAAAGAGGGCCTTGTAAAGCACTCCAGAATTATTATGTGAGTCTGTAAAGGCTGCTGTGTTTTGTAAAGTTGAAAGAACATAGATAACACTGACTGGCTTTAGAATACCACGATTCTTAATTTTTAATGCAGTGTTCTTGGCAAAGCTACACATTAGGAGGAAGAGACCGTACACTCCTTCCACCCCTGGTGAGGTTACCTAGTTCCCACTTTCATTCACTGAGGATGTAAAAGCTTATTAAAAATGATGTCGCCACAGAACAGGAGTGCATGTGGCTTATTTGGTATAGCCTCCCTTGGCCTCAGAATCCCTCATGGGGACAGACGGCCAGTGACAGTGTCCATGCGAAGTCAGGACTCTGGGTCAGGAAAAGCTCAATTCTTACTACACCTCTGCCTTTTTAGTCTCAGTGCTTGTCTCACTACTGCGGTGCAGCTAAATCCATGCGTTCCCATTCAAGGAAGTATTTTCAGACATCGTGCTCCCTGGTGGTTGAACCAAGTCCAGCATTAGGAAGTCCATATCCTCATCCCAGGGGAGGAAAGAAGAGTTAGTATATAGGCGTCCTAAACAACATCTCTGCCTCCAGCTTAACAGCATTTTAGAAGGGTCACATCTTCATCATTTACCCCTCTTAACTCTGATTTACTGCCTTTTTCTCTCAGTGGTTCCGATGTTAAGTTTGGTCTGAGGACCCCAATCCCAAACCCATTTCCACGCAGTGTATCGCGTCCTAGTTTACAAAGCACTTTCCTCCCCATTCTTCTACATAACTCTCCTAACAGCCTTGGGGGGCATATGGTTTGTCCCTGTTGCTGTGCTCTGAGCAGGCCTTTCCCGGGGGCTCCAGCCCTGGAATTCTCCCTATTTATTATCAGGCTTCCCCTGGAGGGGCTGCCTCCTGAACAAACTCACCCCCCATTCCACCCTGAGGTCTAGCTCCAGGGTAGGGGAAGCAGTCAGCCCCAGGTGGTCACCATCACAGCCCCCAGCACAGACCTCTGTGGCCCTAGGCACTCTGGCTTAGAACTGGGTGTAGACAACAGGATTTGGCTGGATGTGGTACTCAGTGGCCTTCTGAGGTCCAGGGGGGCTTCAGTTCTGGAGCCCACTCCAGGACCTTGGGAACTTAGAACCAGGTTGTCCCAGAATTCTCCTGCTGCAAGCTCCTCCTCATGCATTTATTCATCCACTCAACAGGTGTGCTTTGAGCCCCACACCGCGCTAGGTAATGGACTAGGGCCTGGAAATACAGTATGGGCGAGACAGTCCCTGCTGGTGGGGAAGCCAGTTTAGTAAACCGACAGCATGGTCAGTGCAACGATGGAGGAAGCACTGCGGAGCATGGGAGCCCCTAGCCTAGCTTGGGTGGAACGGGGAGGAACAGCAAAGCAGCAAAGCTAGGGAAGGCTTCCTGGAGGAGGAAATGCCTGAGCTGAGGCTTAAAGAGTAAGAGCCAGGGGAGACAGGGAAAGGATATTCCACACCAAGGGAACAGCATGTGCAAAGGCCACAGAACAAGAGGTATCCCCCATCAGCCTCCCTGATGGAAATGCCATTCATCATTCCCTGAGCTTCTCTTGACAACACTGGACAGCCCAATCCAGAGTTTTGTTTCTTCATCTCCCCCAACTCCTTAGCACCCCTGCTGCCCTGTGTTCATTGTAAATGATCAGAGCCATAGTCTGGAACCTTTGCTGGCTCCTTCCTCCTGGGCTCATCCCATTATACAGAATTCCTTGACTCTCATGAGTAAACTCACCGCTCAGCGCCTCCAGCCTGGCAACCCCCACTCCCTGCCCCAGCATTTTCCTGCTTCCCCATGTCCCGTAAGTAACCTTGTTGTACCAGGCAGCCAGGCCCCATCCCCACCCCAGTACCACCCCAGGAGCACTGCATTCTTTCCTTCCTGAATGTGATTTTCTAAGGTCAGTGCCTTCTGTCACTTGCTTGGGTGCCTTGCAGGGGTGATGTGCAATTTGATAGAATTCTCTGCTCCTGATAAGCTTTGGACTGCCTCGGGCAGAGCCCCACTGGGCAGGGGTTGCCTGACCCAAATCTCAACTGCAAAAAACATTTTCTGCTTTTTCTTGGCCTCACGTACGTAGTTGGCTCCTCTCCCTCTCTCCATCATTCCCAGATGAATCTCCTTCTCTCTCCAGGCTTGTCCTTCTGCTCCACCTGAGCCTACAATGAAGCATGGCTTATTCTAAAAGAATAGGTCCTTGTATGTCTCTTTTAGGAAAATTCTGGCTTCTCTGGGCTGGCTAGTGCCTGTATTTCTCACTTATTCTTTTCTGTTTCTTGACATTCACCAACCAAATGCCCTGGGTTTGGCTCCTTACCCAGCTGACCCTCAGAGTCGCCTCCTCCTACGTTTCCTGAAACTAGTAGCTCCCTCTTGTTGGCTCAGCTGCATCATCTCTCCACATCCCCCTGGGAACCAGGTGGCCCAAGCCAGCACAGCTCAGTATTTCTCTTCTCGCCCACTCCTCACGTCCCACATGCTCTAGCTTGTCACTGAACTTTCTCTCCAAACCAGTACATTGTGTGTTTTTCCTTTCTTCCTTTTTTAAAATTTAAACCCTCTAATCCCTGCAGGCTGCCTGTCTTTGCCACTTGTTCAAAGAGATTTGGGTCTTTTTCTTCTTTCTCTCTCTGGGGCGAAGTTCTTGCCTACATTCCTGGCATAAGGCTGTTGAAAGGAGCACAGATCTCTTTTCCTTAAGCTTTTGAAAAATTACAACATGTTGGAAATCCATTCTTGGCTTGTTATACCTAAACTCACTTTCTTTTTCTCTGACATGAGTCAACCAGGGTTTTAATTGGGATTATTATTCTTACCATTATTTTTTGCTGCCAATAAATCTTAAACTTACCACTGAAGTTTTGAGATCTCCCCCTAATCTTCTGTCAAAATGAAGGAGAAAAATCAGGAAAAGGCAGGAATTAGCAGTGCCATGCAGCGAGCCGCGGTGCTGTTGTCTCTCAGGCTGGTTTGCACCTCTCTGTTTTTCCCCACTAAGCAATCCACTCTCCTCTTTGTACACAAAGATGAGGGAGCTGCCAGAGGTCTCTCATTATGTGGAGGGTGGCTGGAAAGGGAATCAATGGCCCTTTCACCCTGCACAGATCAAGATAGGGTTTGGATTTGGGGCTGAAATTATGTCATGTAGGCTCTGACACCTGCTGGACTCTGGACCTGGCGCCTCTGGGATCTATTTCCTGCCCTGGAAAGGGGTGTGACCAGGAGACACTGGGAGGGGTTGTCATGTTGAGGAGCCTCAGGACGGCTGAGGTGGACCTGTGGCCTCAGAGAACTGCCCTTGTGAGAGAGGCCACCCGCAGCTTCCTGCCGTGCCCCCAGGGGCAGCAAGTTCCCCTAGAGCCATAAGCACGTGCTGTGCGTTCCCGCTCTGCCCTGGGTACAGTGATGCCCAGGTGGCCTGGCTGAGAGTAACAACCCTACCTCCCCCAGGACATCAACTAGCAAAGTGTGAACACAGCTCTCTCTCAGACTTGCCTGGAATTTTAGCTCACATTCTCCTCCTGGAGGAACCCATCATTCACACAAATCATCCTGCTCATCTTGAGCTCTGGAATTCCATTCATTTCTGGAGCCAAAATTGACTAGCCTTGCAGAAAGCTGAAGGCCTGGGCTAGGAAGAAGGAGTGTTTGGATGGCTCCTTTATGGACTGAGTGCCTGCTGGGAGGAAGAGCAAGAACTAACAGGGGGTGTGTGTGTATATAAAGTCAATACGTTAATCATGCTTAACAGGGGAATCTAATATGCAATACAGAGGGAAAAATCCACACGCTTTGGCATCTTGAGAGCATAAGAGTAAGGCGTGGTAATGACAGGGGAACAGCTTAACACAGTGCAGAGTGGCCCTTCAGGGGGTCCTCAAGGGCTGCAACAGGGATAGACAGGGAGGCTGAGGAGGAGGGCTTGGACCTCTTCCCCCAGTTCAATCAAGACAGCTTTGTTCTATGTATTGAGCATTCATAGGAACTTGATTCTTGAAAAAGAAAAAAAAGGTCGGGATTCAACTATAAAGGAAGAAGGGAGGGAAGAAAGAAAATAGATGTGTAGGTAAGTAGGTAGGTAGGTAGGTAGGTAGATAGATAGGCATGCCTGCAGATAGGCAGACAGATAGAACTGAAAATCATGGGTAGAAAAAAGACTATCTCCCAGGCATTAGGAGACCTGGGAGCTGCTGTTGTCAGTTTTTGACTACGTGAATGTGGACAAGTTGTTCACTTGTTGGGGCCTCAGCTTTCTAGAAGGAGAGAATGGTGGTATTGGAACTGTGCCTCCCTTAGTGCCGTGCAGTGCTGCTGTGAGGATTAAGAGAGATCAGATGTGCAAATGTGCTTCTCACTTGAGAAGTGCTATATCAGTATAGGCAATCATTTTTTATGTTTTCTCCCTTCCTTCCTCATGAGAAAGTCTTGTGAGGGAAGCATTTTCATCTCCTCCCCTGGGGACATCTGAGAGGTTGACATAGGGAACATCAGTGTCTGAGCCGCCACACACAGTCATTCAGGCTGTTCACTGCACAAGGGTGCTCAACCCAGAGGGCAAGTGGGAGCTGAACTCTGGCTCATGCTCTGAGAGCTGCAAGCCCTGGTTCGGGAAGGCAAGGGGGCCTTTCTCTAATGTGCACTAAAGCGTGTTGGGGCTAGTAAAGGCCCTGGCAGTAACGAGCCTTCTCTTTCTACGGAGGCAGAGTAAAAAGATCCAAGAATGGATTTCCAGTTCTGCTCTTCATTGCTTGCCAGTCTTTAGAGGTGCTCTGGGCTGTTCTGGGAGGAGAAGGAGGAGCCCGTTGTGCAGACGTCTCTCAGTACCTTCAGAGAGGTGTCAGATTGCTCCCTGTGTCCTTCCACCTCCCCCACAGAAACTCCAGGTGGTGGACTAGCTCGGCAGCCCCCAATTACATTGAAAAGTGCTGCTCTCCTGAGAGATCATTTTCCCCTGTCCAACTGGCAAAAATTCAAAAGATTGACAACATTCCATGGGCAGGGCTGTGGAAAAGAAGCATTCTCTTGTGTTGCTGGTGGGAGTATAAAATGATGCAGCCCCATGGAGGAGAATTTGGCTATATCTGATGAAACTACATATGTATTTACCCTTTGACCCAGCAATCCCATTTCCAGGACCTCCCCACAGAGACACCCCTCCACGAATACGAAAACACGTGCACAAGGTTATACATTGTGGCAATATTTGTAATAGCAAAATGTTGGAAAGAAGTCAAATGTCAATCCATAGGAAACTGGTGACCAGATTTTGGTCTATCCATGAAATAGAGTAGCTATTTAAATGACTTTGCTTCTGTTTGTATTAAAATTTAGGGATTGATTTCTTGTCTTTTTAGAAATCCTTTTTTTTTTAATTTGCAATTTTGAAAATATAAAGCTTTAAATGGTTTCAAAATCAAAACCAGATAAAAAGTTGCATGCAGAGAAGCCCTGTTCTTATCCTTCTCCCCTCTACATTTACATTTAACCATTTTCATTAGTTTCTGATTAGTCCTGCTGTGTTTGTTTCTGCAAAAACAAGCAAATACATATATACAAATTTTTTATTTTCCCTCATTTCTTACATAAGATGTAAGTGGCGTACTATACTATTACATATACTTGTTTGTTTTTTCAACAATAAATTCTAGAAATCCCTCCACATCAATTCATAGAGATTTTCCTCATTTTTTTTAATGGCTGCAAATAAGTTGTGTATCAAGTTGATAACCACACAGAGAGTAAGTTTTGAACACGTACTGGTCATACATTTTTAACAGCTTTATTGAGTTATGTACCATAAGGTTCACTCGTTTAAAAGTGTACAATTCAATGGTTTCTGGTATAGTCATGCGTTGCTTAATCACGGGGATACATCCTGAGAAATTCATCATTAGGCGATGTTGTCATTGTGTGATCATAGAGTGTACTTACACAAACCTAGATGGTATAGCCTACCACACACCTAGGCTGTATGGTACTAATCTAATGGGACCACTGTCGTTTATGCAGTTTGTCATGGACCAAAACATTACGTAGTGCGTGGCTTTATATTTACAGAGTTATGCAATCGTTGCCATAATCTAATTTCAGAAACTTTTCCTCATCCCAAAAAGGAACCTTATACCCATTTGTAGTCAGTCCCTATGTCCCCTACACCCCAGCCCCCAGCCCTAGGCAACCACTAATCTACTTTCTGTCTTCTGACCCTACATCTTTAGTGGGACACATTCTGAGGACTAAAAAAAACAAAAAACAAAAACAAAAGCCCTGCAAAGAAATCTTAAATTTTATGTAGTAGATTTATTATTAGTGGTAATATTGCTATTAAAATTCTGGAACTACTTTAAGTGTATTATAGGATAAGGCAGATACATAAATATATTAATTATTAATCTTATTCAGAACCATAGTTTTCACTATAAGAAAAATGAAATACAAATACAAAATAAATGAAGGTAAAGAAAACCTTGTATCTTAAATGCGAATTGAAAATATCAGTGTGAATTCGTGGAAAACATATATTTATATTCTCACTGTATCCTCTGAAAGGGCCTAGAAGCTCTTTACGGCCCTCCTCTAGCAATGAGCACACTGAGAACCTAGGTCTTGGTTTCTAAATACCATTCCCTACGAAAAGCAAACAGAGCTTTTTGAAGAAATGTTGATTTCAGATCTGCATCAAGGAAAGTACAAGGTGATCCAGGGACATCTTTTGTGCCAGAAAGCGAGGAAGTGCTCAGTAGAGGTCACATCAGAAGGACATAAGAAAGGGCTCCCCTTGGCAAAATTGGGGACAATCTGAGCATCCAAAGAATAGGGATGGTAATGGATTATAACACGTTGTAAAAAACTACAAAAATATGTCCATAAAGATGCAAAAAATAAATAATAATAATAAGAGGAGGAGTGAGGAGACATGGGAAAGCTCTTCTTTAGGGAAGAATGCCAGCTTATAAATATAGAATGAATGACAGAATTAGAAAATCACCATTTTGCAACCCCAGGGTAATAATTGATTTAGGCAAAAATCATCATGAGATGCTAAAAGCATTGAGTGAAACATGTTGAGCACAATGACATGCACATAGATCACTTACTTAGTTTTTTCAAAACTATTTTATATTTTACACTTATTATTACAAAGGAGAAAATGTACCTTTACATGTAGAGATCTGGAGGCCACCCCGTTAGCTCAGTGATCAAACTTAGCATCACCAGTAGCCAGTAGGCTGACATCATGTGCCTCCTGATGCACTAAGGTGTCCACAACATCACCCGTGTAGTATTCTTGCCAAAAATATTTCACCTGAATCCAAGCATGAGAAAACAATCAGACAAATCCAGAATGTGAGGCATTCTACAAGGCAATGGGCCTGGACTCTTCAAAAGAGTCAATATTATAAATATAAAAAGCAAACTAACAATAAAAAATGTTGGGTTTTATATTCAAAAGACTAAGAAACATAACAACCAAATGAATTGTGTGAATGTTGATTAGATCTTAGCTTTTGAAAAAATTCTGTGAAAGGCACGGGCAACTGGGAATGTCTGAAGGTGGGCTAAATATGGGATGGTGTTTTGGAACTGTTGTTAATTTTCTTGGGTGTAATAATGTTGTGTGGGTACGTGAGGGAATAACCTTATTCTTAGGAGAAATGCGTTGAGGTATTTAGCAGTGACGTGTTGCGATGTCTACAAAATACTCTCAAATAATTGAGCAATAATAAATATAAGTAGAGAGAGAGAAAGCGGATATGGCAAGATGAGTGTAAGTTGATGAGTGTAAGTGAAGGGTGATGGGTGTTCGTTGTTTTATTTTTACAACATTTCTATACACTTGAACGTTTTCAGCTGCAGGGAGAACTCTAAACTTGCTGTGCTGGGGAGGCTGTCCCACCTGCCTCTCCTCTAGCTTGGGCTGGGCCAGGTCACCTCTCCTGGCGTCTGCACGTTCCCTGCCTCCTTATCAAGCTGAATCACCCTCTCCTGTTTCCTCTCAGGGGAAGACCCCCTCGTGGATGATCAAAATGAGCGAGATATCAATTCAGTCGCTGGTGTTTTAAAACTGTATTTCCGAGGACTGGAAAACCCACTCTTTCCTAAGGAAAGGTTTCAAGATTTGATATCTACTATTAGTAAGTATTTCCCAGGTGGGATGATCAATTCCTTGACAATCTGTTGAAGTTGCACTACGGGCTCATCACCGCACAAGCAGTGTGGCGCTTCTCCTCATAGGAGTTAAAACCTAGTTGTGGAAATAACAAGATGGTTTATCATGGCAGGGCTAACAGGCATGGTACACACCTGGGTACGGAAGGAGCTCAGAGGAGAAGCAGAGGGAGACTTGGTGTCACAGATCACAGCTGAGGGAGAATAATGTGAAGAGAGTCTTCCAAGAGGAGTAGACACATGGATCCTGGGAAGAGTTGGGGGGACACAGACCAGTGGGACCAGCAGGAGGGTGTCCTGGCCAGTGCATAGTACAAGAGGCTGGAAGGATAAAGTGGAGCAAGAGAGGGAAGACCTTGAATGCCTTGCAAGGATTCCAGATCTTTCCCTTGGGCAATAGGGAGCCACAGAAGGTTTGGAAGTCAGGTCAGCAACATGGCAAACAAGGGAAATGGTGAAAATAAGTGGACTGGGGGCTTCCTCTGGCATTGCTAGCCATCAGAGTCCTCTTTGACTGGTATTTCTGTGGATAAAGGCAGGAGCCCAGTCTAGGGGGCTGAAGTAAAGGCACCTTGACTGTAAGATGCCAAAATCCAAGGCAAACTTTTGGGAATTTTTTTTGAATAAATTTTGAATTTTAGAGTATTAGAATTGTAGTGTTTTGGAATGAACTTTTAAATTTAATTTGCCTTACAGAAAATTCCCGCATACCCAGTTTCACTAGGCATGCTTCTCACAATGCTCTGAGAGATATTTGCAGCCAGGAAAGTGCCCCAGGAGGTGGCGAGAGCATACGGAGGCTTGAGCCCTTCTAGCTGCCTTGTGTAAAAGACCCTTCCTTCACCTTCTGCCCTCCACACCTCTTCCTGCTCTCCTTGCCAGGTCCGCTCCCAGCTCCAAATCACGTCTCAGAAATTCCAGGCCTCAAACCCAACCCTATCTGAGCCCCACGTCACTTACTCGGCCAGCGTTCCCAGAAGCCCTGATAGTCCAGTTGAGCAGGGCGCTGAGTGGACAAGGATGTTGACCTCTGGTGCAAGCTCATGACATTGCACACCTTGAATCACACCGTGAGAAAAAAAGTCCCTTCCTAGTTCCCTTCCAAAGCCTGTGATTACATCAAGGACTAAACCTTACACATCAATCTTCCTTCCAAACAGAGAGAGCTGGGCTTCGGTCTTAGAAACTTGTGTACAGCAATGTCTACCTATAATTTAGTAGCTTTGTTTTGCTTTCATAGTATCTATTTTTATGTTACCTCCTAATTATGACAAGTGATCCTGGTTTCTCATTTACAGAGTGATGTAAAATCTCCTTTTTAAATAAATACATTTAAGGAAAACAAAATTAATAAATAATAGTGGAGGTGGTACTAGGGCAATGATGACTGAATCTGAGGACTTGGAGGGACCTGTATGAGGGGCGATGGAATCAATATGTGTGCAAGAGCCTTGAACTCTTTGTGGAGGCTTGGGCAAGGCTTCCTGGAACCAGACCGTGAAGGTAGGCTGGAGTGTGCCAGGCAGTGTAGAGAGATCACCAGTGTGTGCAAAGGCCGAGGGGCAGCAAAGTCCTTTGTGAGAGGGAGATGGTGGATAAGGAGGCCTGGCACAGAGTTTCTCAAACGGTAGAGCAGTGCCTTATGTGTCCCACACATTCAGGACATTTAGCACCTTGGCCTCTGGAACTCAAATGCCAGTAGCACCCTCCAGTCACTGTGACAACCCCAAAGAATGCCCCCATATATTTGTCAGTGCCTCCAGAAGTGCATCATCACTTCATTTGAGAAGTATGGCTCTAAATCATCTTCAGATACTTTGGGAAGGGGCCGTGGCTAGGAGACGAGGCAGACAAGGTTGGTTGAAGCCCCAGCATGAAGGGCTTTGGATGCAGAGGAGAAACAGGAAAAATTGTGTTTTAGAAGGAACATGCTGACCGAATGTGGAAGCTGGAGAGAGGGGCTAAGTGAGAAAAAAACATGTCTTCTGAAAAAGAAACTGACATGGGTTCGTGCATCCTCCATGCAGATACACATCAGAGCTTTGGCAGCTCACTCTTCTTAGCGCCAGCTCTCCTCTCCACAAGCCAGAGCCCACAGAGCACTTTTCTCTCCTTACCAACCCAATTTACTGCTCCCGCCCCTGGCCTGACTGGTAAAAATACGAATGTCTGTCTCTAGAGGATTGACCTGAAAATGGGTCGGAGACAAGACCCCTAGTATCTGCTAGGCTCATTGGCCAATATATAGCTCAAGAAGTGGTTATTTACTCAGCAGTCACTTCCTGAGCACGTGCTATGTGCTGGGCCTGTGCTGCAGCTGGTGTTTACAAAGAGTTTAATGAAAATGGTCCCTGCCTGTGTTCATCAGGACTCATAGGTTGCAAGTGACAGAAAGTCAACATACGCTGGCTTAACCCATAAAAGGGAATGTATTGGCTCACGTACCTGAGAAGTTTAGGCCCAGCTTTACCCAGACCTCACCCACATCCGCAGGAATCTGTGTCTTCCGGCTCTGTACTGGCTTCACTTTCAGGCAGGGTCTTCTTTCCTGGGAGCCCCCAGCTGCTCCAGACGTCCTTCTACCCAGTTTCAAGAAGGCACCTCTCTCTGGGTTTCTCTGGCCCAAAGTCCCAAGGGTCAACTCCAGCTGGTCCTGATTAGGCCCCTTCCCCTCCCTGGACCCACCACTGTGGCCAGGGGAATGCGATGCTCTGAGTGGCCAGGCCAGGGTCACATCTCAGTCCCCAGAACTGAGAGTAGAACTGGCTCTCCTGAACCACGTGGGCTGACCTAGGTGGTGGGACTCACAAATGGTGACTACTTGGCTCTCTGAGGACAAAAAACACCCTGAAAAGCCCCTTTCTGTTCCAGAACTGGAGAACCCAGCTGAGAGGGTGCACCAGATCCAACAGATCCTCGTCACCCTTCCCCGCGTGGTCATCGTGGTCATGAGATACCTCTTCGCTTTCCTCAACCAGTGAGTTGCCTGGCCAAGGGGGCCCCTCTTTGCCTCGGCCCTGGCCTCCTTTGGGAGTGGGTGTCCTCAGGCATTCACAGGTGCAGCTGTTCTTAAAACAAAACATGGAACCCTCTTGGATCTGAGTAGAGCCCCCAAAAGAAAGAAACCCCAGGGGGAGGACTTGTCTTTCCCAGGTGACGTGTGGGTACCCCCTCTCTTGTAGCCTCTCACAGTATAGCGACGAGAACATGATGGATCCCTACAACCTGGCCATCTGCTTCGGGCCCACCCTCATGCACATCCCTGATGGGCAGGACCCTGTGTCCTGCCAGGCACACGTCAACGAAGTCATCAAAACCATCATCATCCATCATGAAGCCATCTTCCCCAGCCCTCGGGAGCTAGAGGGACCCGTGTATGAAAAATGCATGGCTGGAGGGGAAGAATATTGGTAAGATTCCACTCCTCTTAATATTATTATCATCATCGTTGTTGTTGCTGCTGTTGAAGAGGAACAGTTAGAAAACGTTCGATTTTCTTACTGCTGTATAATCTGTATTCCCATATACATTTTCTCATTTGAGCTTTGCAGCAGCCTGATATGAAAGATAGCATCATTCAAGGCTCTCTTGGCTTATGAGAGACAGACATAGAACTCAAAATGGCTTAAACCAAATAGGAATTTACTAGTTTACTTAACTAAAAAGTCTAGGGGCATGGCTTCAGGTATAGCTGGATCCAGGGGTTCAACCATTATCATCAGGACTCGGTCCTACAATCCTCAGCTCTGCTTTCTTCTCCATTGGCTTCATTCTCAGGCAGCATTGCCCCTGGTGGTTTCAAGAAGGCCTCCAGCAACTCTAGATTTAGAGCCCATTCTCTCAGCATCCCTAGGGGAAAAAGAGCTTCTCCTTCTCAAATGTTTCAACACAAGCCCCAAAATTGTCTCCTTGCTGAGGCTTGGGTCTGGTGAACTAGTCACACTGGTTAGGAGATGTAATGCTGTCATTGGCCAGGTGAGTTGAAAGCCCATCTCAGGCAGCAGGGGCGTGAATAATCCCCATCTCAACCTCATGAATTTAGAGTGACACTTCTTGATGTTGTCCCCTCCCACCTAGGAGTTCTATCTTCCAGACAAAGTGAGTTCATTTTTGTTGAGAGCTCCACACTAGGCCAACAGTTGCTAGTTGGGCACCTTTGCGTACGTGGTGCTACACTGGGTCTTGGGAGAAATATTTTAGAACCTTTCAAAATCAGGGCTGACAACCTTCCCCAGGCTAAGACTGTAAAATGCAGTGAAGATAGGACACTTTTTAAAAATGTGGTGAAGACAGAAAATTCAGGACACCAACTGACAGAGACCAGTCAAAGGGTTCCTGCTCTGTCTTTATTCCTGATCCAGGACGGCACACAGCTCTATATTTAGGTATCACCCGCACTGCCTTCAGCCAGGTGCCTACCGGCGAGTTTGTCTTTTGATTGTCCAAGCCTTCCTGGGCTCTTGACTCACTTTAGTTCTTGGGCATATTTGGGCAACGGCTTCAAAGAAGGGGGACGTTCCAGCCCCTTTGTTTCCCTGCATCACTTCCCTGCAGGCAATGCTGGGCCCCGGCGATGGCTGCTCATGACCTCATGTGAGGCATTGGGAGCAGGTCTGTCCCTGTTCTGTGACAGAAACATCAAACAGCCAGCAAGCACACTTTCTGGACAAAGAGAAGCTTTCCACACAGTTTTTGCAACCATTACCAGTTTTCTTTTCTTGCTGCACCATATATATATATATATACATACGTATATATATATATACGTATGTGTGTGTATATATATATAATTAGTGTTCTGGGAGGGGATCTACAGATCTGAGTGTACTTCTCATAGAGCAATATACAATAACCACACTTTTCTTAATCCCATTTGTGTCCCATGAGAAAGGAAAAGTATTAACTACACGGTAATTTTGGAGGCATTTTCAAAGCCAAAAAGGGGGATTTGGCTGAGGGTCTCATCCCAGTGGACAACATTCCTTCGTTCAACAAACAGACATTCACAGAGTGTCTGTCCTGGGCCAGGCCCCGTGTGGGGGCAGCACTCTAACCTGGACAGGATTAACGCCTGATGCAGGGAGCTCTGGTGGAGGGGGAAACAGGTCCAGAAGTGGGGTCCCCTGAGCCACTGTAGGGAAGTCAGGAAGATCTTTCTGGAGTAAGTAAAGACTTAGCTGAGACCTGCAGGATGAATGGGAGTCTTCCAGGTGAGGAGTGGGCAAAGAATGTTCTAGACCTGGAGCATCCAGTAGAATGAAGAGCAGTTTGGTGTGGCCAGAGTGTTGCATGTGCCGAGGGAATGGTGAGGGAGGAGGCTCCGCAGGCCAGCAGGAGCCAGGTTACGAAAGGTCTTAAACAATCCGTTGTGCAGAGTCTGGACCTCATCCAGGAGGCAACGGAGAACTTTTCATGATAAAGTCCATATTCCTTTAAATGGCGTTGTAAATGTTACCTCCTCTGAGAAGCCTTCCCTGACCACCCTCTGGAGGCCTCCTCTGCTATGCTTGCCTCTGCTCATTTGTTCCTACGTAACACATTTCAGCTTGCACCAGTTTTATTTTCTGGCCCATGAGGGCAGGGTCCGTGTCCACCGTACCCAGCAGTGTGCCCCTCCTACCTAGCACAGTGCCTGGCGTCTATTAGGACTCCATCAATGGCTCAATAAAAAAAAACGGACTGACTGGCGAGGTGCAGGAACCCGGCCTCCAGAAGCTTCTCGTCTAGCGAGGGGGTAGCAGCTGGTGAAGTTATCCCAGGGCATTAACAGCTAAATTTCCCGGGCCTGGATTCACTCTCCCGCCGTGCCCATCATGGTTGCCAGTCTGCTCGCAGCACCGGGACTGATCTGGGCTTTTGCATGCAGCATCTTGAGGCAACCCCGAGGAACCCTGCTCTTTGTGAGCTTCTCTCCACCTCGCTGGGTGTGTCACCTCCGCTGTGAGACAGGGAGCCAGCCTAGATGGATACTCACAGTACTTTCAAAATTCCTTTCTGTTCTGGCCTGTGGTCCTTCTGAGGAAAGATGCTAGGGTTTTACACTGCCCTCTGGATCTTACAGAGCACCTAGGCATTGACAACCTTTACAAAGAGACAGCCCAGCAAATTCCAGGGCTGGGGCGGATGGGGGAGGTTATTCAGGGAAGCTTCCAGAAGAGAGGGCTGGGAGTGGTTTTCTATTAGGAAGGTCCGTAGGTGGTCAGAGGGAGAAGACAGGTCAGGGCCTGCATCTGATCTGGGTCAAGGCCCAGAGGTGGGCTGAGCTGGCACCCGCAGGAGGCTGAGGGCAGTGTGAGGATACAAAGCCCCCCAACGAGTCCCCTTCCCATGTTTCCTTGCAGTGACAGCCCACACAGCGAGCCAGGGACCATCGATGAAGTTGACCACGACAATGGCACTGAGCCTCACACAAGTGACGAAGGTGAGTAAGGGGCAGTCTGGGGCCAAGGAACTCCCCCAGGGCCTCTCATGCTGACTCCTGCCCGCCCAAACACTGGGCTGGCCTGCATAAACCCCTGCCGCTTTGCAAGTCAGCATCGTCCTCCAGAATAGATGGGGACCCAGGAAAAGCTGAGAGGCAGGTGCCCTCTACTTTACCACATTCCCGCCCGGCTGCCTGATCCCTTTCAGTGATCTGCCTGGCCGGAGCGAAGTCCTAAGTGACAGGAGTTTCCTAGGTAGAAGGCACGCTTTGCCCCACCAGGGGTCTGTTCTGCGCCCAGCCTCTGCTGGGACTTGGAGCACATCGATGAACGAGACATGGGTCATCGAGGAGCTCCCAGCCTCGTCACCTGACAGATTGGGAGCAGCTCCCCATGATGCATAGTGATAAAGCCAGACTACAGGTGTGTCCCCAGTGCAGCAGACACCCTGAAGATGGCGCCAAACTTCCCTGGTGATGACCCAGGGAAGTGTGCAGAGATAGGGAGAGAGAGGCCAGCCAGGGCTCCAAGGGACTCACTGGACCGTCCACTCCTTCTAGACAAGGAGAAGAGAATCGGGCTAGGCTCTAGGGAGCCCGGACTGTGTAGATAAGCAATCTGGATAATATGGGCCTAGGGCCAGCATATCCATTAGGCAAAGTAGGCACAGTGCCCAGAGCCCACAATGCTTTCAGGGCCCACAAAAATGTTTTAATTTCTTTTAAAATAAGAAGAAAAAAATGAATATGATCCAGCCTGGATTATACTCATCTTTATACCAATGCAGTTGTAAAATACAATTTTTAACTTTTTTTTAATAGAGGAAGAGACCCATGTAAGCAAAAGTGCCCAGGGCCTATGAAAGTCATAATACAGCCCTGTATAGACCAAGCATAGCCCTCCTTTCTCCCTGTGATAGTTTTACTTTTTAAAAATCATTATTTAGCAGTTCTCTTATCAGCCTTTGTGTTTCTCTTGTGGGACAGTCCCAGGCCCTGCTTGCTGCCATTTTTGTCAGGAGAGCTGGGTATGTACTCAGGAGTGGTTTGTGGGAGCTAGTGAAAGAGGCAAGACTGATATGTGGGTTTTCACATTCTAGTAGGAGTATTTCAGTTGCTAACAACAGAACCCCCAACTCAAATGGACTTAAGCAAAAGAGGGAATCAGATCACGTACCTGAAGCCAAGGTAAGCATGGCTTCAGGTGCAGCTGGATCCAGGAGTTCAGTTGATTTTGTCAGGAATTTGTCTCCATCTTCCTGTTCTGCTTCCCTCTGTGTTGGCTTCATTCTCACGTAGGATCTCCCTGTGTGGTGGGCTCTGGCAGTTCCAGGCTTTCATTATCCTTCTACCCAAAGTCCCAGTGGAAAAGGGCTTCCTTTTCATAACGGCTCCAAGAAAGGCCCTGGGATGGAGTCTCACTGGACAGCCTTGGGTCACGTACCCAGGCATGATCTAATCACTGTGGCCTGAGAGGAAGCTGATGGGTCAGGCCAGGGTCACAGGTGCAGAAAAGCAAATCTAGGCGTAATGTTCAGCTCTGCCAGAATCCTGAGAGGCTGAAGTCATCCTGAGCTGAGGAAAGTGGCCTGCAGCGCTTTTGTTTGGAGATGTGAAGGCTGCCACCTTCTGTTGCTTGCAGTGATTTGCTTTTCTCTTTCCTTCTTTCCCTCCCTCCTCCAGTTCTTCTCCCCCCTCTATCACTTTTAACATCCCTCCTTCTTGTTCTCTCCATTTGTTGCTTTCTTTATTTCTCGATCTGTGTGTGTGTGTGTGTGTGTGTGTGTGTGTGTGTGTGTGTGGCTCCCTCTTGCTCTAGACCTTGCTGTCAGTCTCTCTTCTTCCACTGGGAGAAAACACCTCTTGTCCAACGAGAGAGACTGATTTTCCAGAATTGAGGCCTGTCAGGGCTGCAGGTGAGGGCAGACATGCCCTCAGGAGGGCGGGTCAGGTGCCCTCTGAGCACCTTGCAGCTCTGCCCGTTGAGCTGTGCTCCTGCCTTCCTGGGGGCTAAGGCTGCTGTCATCATCCCACTCTTGCGGAGTTGCCCCACAGCTCCTCAGCCCCGTGGGTGGAAGGCTGCTCTGGGCACCAGGACTGGGGAGGAGGAGGGACAGAGAGAATGGGTCTTGCTGGGTCAGTGAAGAGACAACACAGCAACGAACAGGACGCACCCAACAGGCTTCACCCCACACCAAGAAGAACCCCCCAGAAAATGCTGTCTTGCTCCTCTGAGTGCAGAGGCCCACAGTATCCCTGGAACGGGATACGTTAGAGCTTGGTGTCTGCTTCCCCAGAAGCTCCCTGCTCCTGTTCTTTGTCAGGCTGCTGGTTTCTGAGGATGACAAAGGCAGGAAGCATCATCCTGGAGGGGCACAGCCACCGTCAGGAGAGCCAGTTTCATGCTCCCTGAAGGTTCTTGCTGTATCCTGTGTGTTGATGGGGGTGCTGAATCAGGGGCATTCTCTGGAGGAAAATGAATTGCGTTTTCTAAATGTGCACATTCATGCCGACCCCAGCCAAAACAGTCACAGACATCTTGAGCTGCAGGAACAGTCGAGGGGGCACTGGCCTCTGAGCAAGGAGACCTGGATTTGAAACACAGAGAGAGACCTTTATGGCCGTGACGTCTTTGGCCAGCCACATAACCGCTGGCCTCAGTTTCTTTATCTGTAAAACAGGAGTGACAGCACCAAGGGAATTGTGGCCTCGGTTCCAATGAGGTGACGTACATGAAGGAGCTTAGCTCAGTGCCTGGGATGGCGAAGTGGAGAGGAAACGTTAGCTGACTCTGTATACAGTATAAATCCGTCCTAGTCCTGAGAGAGAAACTGAGTCCAGAGAGTTTCATTGACCTAACTGGTCACTGGCAGCCTAAACCTCCTGATTTCTTTACCTACTTTCCTTAAGACATTTCATTTGGGGAATTATCAATATCTTTGTTTCTCCTGAAAACACCCTGTATGAATGGAATCCAGCAGACTTCAAAGGTCAAGTCAGCCATAAAACCACAACTCTGTGTCCTTGTAATAGATGGGTCATCCCATGAGTGACTAAATTGAAGGAACAAGTTATTGTTTGGGCACCTACTGCCTTTCCTGTCTCAACAGATTCTGTAACTAACTGATGCCTGCTGCCCTGCCTTGAGTCTGTTAGCACATCATGAGTATAAGCCTGGAAAAGCCATTTGTGCTTGCCCTTTTGGTCTCCAAGGTTTATGAAGAAACCATGGTTAGGCTGAGAACCCTTGATCGTCAGAAATGAACCAAATGAAAACATTAAGGGAGCCTGTCAATAGCAGCTTTATTAATTGGATGCTAAATGAGGAACAAGACCGCCAGGTAAAGAAACCACTAAAATTAGTAACAGAAACATGTTCATATAGTTACAATGTGTTAGTTTTCAATTATAATTACACCATCATTCTCTCACTGATATTTTCTCAAAGTTCTCCAAACTGCCTTGATTCCTCACCCATCATCTATTTCTAGAAAACCATTAAGCCATTCACTCGGTGGACACATCAGAGGTTCATAAATGGGCTTTTGGAGGTCCATTGTGGGCAAAATTCTATTTCTATTGGAATGTGTCCCTCTGAGAAGAGGTCCGTAGTTTTCATGAGATTGTTCTAGACATCTATTAGAAATCAAGGTAAAATTTTTGTTTATTCGTGGTTCCCAATATTTCTTTAATAAAAAATTTCAAACACACAGAAAAGTTGAAGGAAATTGTACAGTGAACACCCATATGCCTACTACCTAGTTTCTACAGTTGTTAACATTTTGTTGTAATTACTTTATCATGTGGGTAGCTATCCATCTATCTATCCATCTTATTTTTAAGACATTTCAAAGTAAGTAGCCATCATCAGCGTGCATCTCCCCAAATACTTAAGCATGCACATCATTAACTAGGGGTCAATATTGTTTATGGTTCTTTTTTTGAAGTAAAATTACATACACTGAAATGTACAAATCTTAAGTGTATCATTCCATGAGTTTTTATAAAGGCAAAAACTTGCATAACTCAAACCCCTATCAAGATACAGAACATTTCCAACACCCTAGAAAGTCCTTCATGCCCCATCCCTGTCAGTCCCTGCCCCAAAGCCCAAGAAGTAACCACTGATCTGGTTTATTTTTTTCACCAGAGATTAGTTTTGCCTATTCTAGAACTTCATATAAATGGAATTGTACAGAATAGAGTCTTTTGACTCTGTCTTCTTTCACTGGGCATAATGTTTACAGATTCGTCCACATTGTATGTGTTAGGTGAGGTTTTGATGGTATTAAAATAGGCCCGGCCCCGTGGCCGAGTGGTTAAGTCTCCACTCACTCCACTTCGGCGGCCCGGGTTCGCAGGTTTGACTTCGGCGGCCCGGGTTCGCAGGTTTGGCTCCCGGCGTGGACCTACTCCAGTCACCAGCTGTGCTTTCGTGGCGGTGTCCCACGAAAGTAGAGGAAGATTGGCACAGATGTTAGCTCAGGGATAATCTTCCTCAAGCCAAAAAAAAAAAAAAAAAGGAAAAAAAGAGGAAGACTGACAATGGATGTTAGCTCAGGGCGAATCTTCCTCAGCAAGAAAAAAAAAACGGAAAAAAAATGGTATTACAGTCAGTTTATTTGAATGCCCAATTCTGCCCAAATCATGGCCACCCCACCCTGTGAGAAATAAAAAATAACAGAAAACGAGAACAGTGGCCACTTTATTATTAACTAGGCTGTTGTTCCCAGTGCAGAGAAGGTAAACTGGTCTGCACCACGGGGCTGAGGCCTGAAAACTAAGTAGGACTCTCCCTTGCTTTTTTATTTTAACCACTTTATTGAGTTATAATTCACATACCATAAAATTCACCCTTTTAAAGTGTATAATTAAATAGTTTTTAATGTATTCACACATGTGTGCAACCATCACCATAGACAATTTTGGAACATTTTCATCACCACAAAAAGAAACCACGTGCCGTTAGCTATCATCTCTTACCTTCCTGTCCCCACCGC